CGTAGTCAGATTTTTATTACAAAACGCTTGCACCACAAATCTCTCACATTACCATATTTTCAGGAGTTATAACTGTAGAACGCATTGAGCTGTTGACTTCGGATTTTCACTGTACAAATTCACTGGTGTTCTACTTGGTGATGACAGTGTTGTCAGATCTCAAATATGTCTATAATCTGAATAAAAATTACAAACAAATACTTTGTTTCCAAAATTGAAGTTGTTGTAACTTCGTTGTTAACAAATATTTTTTAATGAAAATTTGACAGTTTTGATTTATAACGACTACGAATCCAGTGGTGTAGTCAAATTTGAAAACAAAAATTGCCTAATAAACTTTTGCCGTTTTTGACAAACAAAAAAAACCATAGAGTGCCTTGGAAATGAAACTAAAATTGTGAAAGTTAGTGTCAAGATACAGTTTTTCATGCTCAATATTTCAATTAAAAAAAAATTGAGATTGATTGAAAAATGCACATTCTACAGGGGTGGTTCCATTTTAAATGGGTCACACTGTATAAAAGAGGTTTCCCCTCAAGCACACATTACCCCTCATATTGAAGAATTACAACTTTTGGAATTGGATGAAATGTGTTTTGTTCACTAAGCTTGTTTAGTGAACAATATCTTGAATACTAGACTACCAAGTACTTTGCCACAAAAATGACAGATCACTGAGGAACATAAATGTTCCTGCCCATCGTTCTTCATTCTTCGAGATATCCTTTTCTTATTTAGTACCTATCTGCTGAATAATATACCCTCAGGGTATCGTAATTTATCTACTCCCACTCTAAAGAAAAATCTCTACGAGGCTATCCTGAATGGGCAGCTGAATTCAATAAATGTAAACAATACAACAGTGTACGATTAAACTCAAGTTTATTTCACTGCTATACTAACAATATAACATAAACACTTCAACTGAAATTTCAGACAAATACTATATCGACTTATTAGATCACTTCGTACCGCACTTTCAACTAGACTTGCCCCTTATGCCTGTTGGTAGTGTTTATATGTTGCAATGGAAGTATCTGGAAGCCGATAGGAAAGTTCCTCGAAGCGACGCGACATCTAGAACGATCAAGAAGCGAGAATGGTTCAAATACGTTGACGATGAACTGTAGATATCACAAAAAAAATGGAATAAGAATAGATCAAATAAAAAAAAAATTAACGAAATTAATCAAAAACTATGTTTCAGCATTGAGGAAGAACACAACTCAAAACTTAACTACCTGTACATAACCATAGGATATAACCATAACAAAACACAATTTCAAATGGCAATATACAGGATAACCTACATAAACAAGCTCCACCATACCCGCAAGTTCAAACCATCCACCATCACACAAAATGGCTGCCTATAACGCATTCATATATAGAATGTTAAGGATACCACTCAGCAATGAAGCCCGAAACAAAGAACGGAAAGTCATATACCAAATAGCGAACGAAAACTAGGGATATTGAGTGAGATGGTATTATCAATGGAAAAAGGTTATTGGACAAAGCACTCATAGGAAGGTGGGCAAACCGCAGACACGTGTTTCTGGCTATCTAGCCTATATATATATATATAGAGAGAGAGAGAGAGAGATGTTCAAAGTCTGAATACAGAAATAAATTTTACATCACATACTGAATGAAAAAGAAAGCTATGAACAGTTTTATTCAATAATTAATATGTAATGTCTTTTTAGGCAGCGCATATTTTTTCATTTTTCGTAGCTGGCATCGACACAATAGCTGACCTGATATCCTTCACTTTGTACGAATTGTGCCGAAACCCGGACATACAGGAAAGGGTGAGAGAAGAAATAATGGATATTATGAAGAAGCACAAGAACGAGTTTACTCCAGAATGTTTGAATGACATGAAATATTTACGACAAGTAATCAGTGGTCAGTATGTTAAATATTGCTTTGCAAAACTCTTTTCATTTATTATTTTTGAAATTTCATGTTCAATCGTTCCATGGTTTAGGATGACATTTTGGGATATAGTTTCTTCCCACTAAAATTTTGAAACTAATACTGTTATGCCTATGCAGTCTTTCAAATAATGTCTTGATTAGCATTTTGTTGAAAACTAACTTCAAAATAGCCTAATTTTATAATAAGGATAATTCTTCACTCTTACTTTTCAGACACCATTCATGTTTTGCAGAAAATCATATTTTTTGGAAACAATTTTCATCAAGAATAGCATTTGCAAAATGAAATTTTTGATCCATTTTTTCTCTTGTATATCACATTTATAATCGTAGTTTTGCTACGTTTTCAAATGTTTTTGTTGGTACTACATATTATCTCTCGTTTTTTTTAATGAAGGTGAATTTTATCAATCAAAAATCACTGTTTCAGAAACTCTCAGGATTTATCCCGGGCTTCCAAGTTTGGAAAGGGAATGCGTGAAAGACTACAAAATCAATGGTACCAACCTAACCATTGAGAAGGGAACCACCGTTTGGATTTCAATCATGGGTATCCACCGAGACCCAGAATACCATACGGACCCAGAAAAATTCGACCCAGATCGATTCATCGAAGATAGCGCAAAATCATACTCTCAATTCTATTTTCCCTTCGGACTCGGACCTAGAATGTGCATAGGTAATTCAGGGTTTATTAAAAAATTATTATTCGATGAATAACAATCCATTTCTTCCTTCTAATTTCAGTTTTGTAGGTTCTTTCCAAAATTATCGAGAAAGTAATAAGTTCCAGATTATTTGAACATCTTGATAAATCAAAATTTTTGTATAATGGTCAATATGGATTTCAAAAACAATGTGATACAGAATTCGCTGTTTTAGATGTCATTACAAAATTTCAAGTCAATTCAAATTCGAATATGAAATGTGCACCGTTCTCATAAAACCTTACAAAAGCATTTGATAAGTTAGGTCATAAAATTCTTTGGAATATTTCATACAATGTGCGAATCAGAGGTTCTGGGCAGTTGATTCGAAAATTATCTGTATAACAGAAGAGTTTGTATATACGGGAAAAATCGTGGGTCATGGAAAACAGTGTTACGTGGAGTTCCACAAGGATCTACCCTCGGACCAGTGTGTGTACGGAAAGGTTTCCACAGTCAACAATCTGACAATCTGTAGTCCGGGTTAAAATACGTCTGGTGTTTTTGTATTTCGACGTTTCGGCTTCGAAGACATTTTCAAAAAGCTATCACTACACCGGGGTCTCATACTACCTACTCCTCAAGCAGGGATACGCTGTAAGGGTTTTCTGACTTGACGCTGGGGTCTCAATCTGCCTCTCTCCCCAGGTCTCGTCGCTAGTTTTTGCAAAGGTCTCAATCTGCCTACTCACAAGCGTCGACTGTCGGACCACCGGTTCTGGTCTGGTATTTATGTCCCTGGACGAATGGAGGAGGGGGACGATGGTGGAATTGGTAGTGGGCGGATTGACACTCTGGGGAGTAGACAGATTGAGGGGTCTCACGGCGTCGTCACAAAACCTCTACAGCGTGACACTACCTGAGGAGTAGGCAGATTGATACCTCAGTGTAGTGATAGGTTTTTGAAACTGGCTTCAAAGTCGAAGTCAAAACACCAGAAGCGGTTCAACCCGGACTTCAGATTTGAATCAATCTATTGAGTTTTCTAACAAAGCTATCAACTATTCATCATCTGTCAAGTTTGTAGGACTTCACGTAGGTGAAAATTTGAACATATCTAAATTTTACGTAAGCAAATATCTTCCATAATTATTGGAATGTCGATAAAATACAAAAATTGTGTTTATTTCTCTTTAGTTCATTCGAAACTAAATATTTGATATCATTTTGGAAAACAGCCTCAAATGCTCTACTCAAACAACTGAAAATACTGCAGAATGAAGTTATAAACCGTATTCTCAAACTGGATTGGAAGAAACCAAAAAGTATATCAAACATATCAATGTTGTACAAACTCAAACTTTGCACCTTTATTCATCTGGTAAAAAACAGTTTGAAACACTGAAATTCCCGTTCCCAAAAAGGGAAATAAAAATCTTCCGAATAACTGAAGACCAGTCGCTTTGCTATCAGAGATATCAAAAATCATAGAGAAAGCCTTAAACCACCCTATCCTTAAATATTTAGAGGGCTTTAACATCTTGTGCGATCATCAATATGGCTTTCGGAAACAAAGATCAACAGACGACCTTCTATCGTATGTCACCCATATTTGGAATAACGCAGTAGAAAAATATGGAGAGTCAAGAGCTATTGCGCTTGATATTTGTAAGGCCTTTGATCGTGTGTGGCATGAGAGTTTGCTAGCCAAACTTCGATGCTAGGGCTTGTCGGATCATTTTTGTGTACAGCTTACCAGTTTCCTGCAAGTGGCGGTCGATGGATATATCTCAAATACTTTTACTATTAACGCTGGTGTTCCTCAGGGATCCATATTATCTCCGACCCTTCTTTTAATGTATATCAACGACTCATTGGAAAAAACCAAGAAGCCAATATTTGCTTTGCTGACGACAGCACACTTGTCTCGTCATTCCATTTGGATTTCAGAACATCTTCACCGGCAACTGGGGGTTGCATGTCTTAATGAGAATCCAAAAGTGATTTCGAATTGGGATGAAACTAACCAAGTTCAATTCAATGCCACAAAAACCCAGGCACCGGTTTTCTCCAAAAGATAAATGTCTCCGAACAAAAGCTTGGAACACTGTTCCAAACCAGAAAACTGTACACACCTCAGCAAATTTTGATGCTTTATAGAGCTCATATCAGACAATCTTCGGAGTATTGTTCTCATGTATGTAGCTTCGCCCCCAAGCATATCTTGAAGCTGCTGGATTCCATTCAAAAAAGAGCCATCCGCCAGATTGGAGACACGAACAGCACTTGCAACCTTGAGATAGTTTGGAACCTCGAAGAAAAGTTGGAGATAATCTCTCTTCTATAGATACTTTCACGGGAAGTGTACCACCAAGAGCGTTACATATTAGAAATACGCGACGGACTGTATGCTCTTCATTTTGAGGTTCAACTCGGTACACCTTGAACTCCACTGTTCAAGAACCCATTCATTTGGAGAACTACGTTTATGTGGAATAAACTTCCTGATAACGTTTTTCCAAATGAATTCAATCTTCAGCGATTCAAATCCAATGTGAAACGCTAGTTTCGCACAGACACCGCTTTTAGGGCGCGTCAAGAATTTTTCTGTAGTGCTTGTCTTTTATCCTTACAAAAAAAAGCAGCAATCGGTCTTTCTTATGATCGTTATTAATTTTCAGGAGTTCGTTTTGGACTGACGGTAGCACAAATAGGACTTATCAAAATACTGAGGGAGCACAGGATGTCTCTCAGTGATGAAACTTGTACACCTTTAAAACTGAACAAACAATCGTTTTTGTTGGAAACCCTGGAACCTTTGTTAATGAGAGCTGAAAAAATATAGATATTTTAACAAAAAATGCATTTTATTCCAAAAGATTTCCCTTTTTTAACAAAATTTGAGGCTTCAGCCAAGAAATCTCCTAGCTAGATCATGACTGGTAGTGGTACCTATTCAATAGAATATAAAATTTGTTTTTCAACGATATATCACAGTCGACCATTTCATTCAAAATGGCGGCGTAAACGCCAATTTCTCCAAATTCAATGTGGCGGCACAATGACGTCATCTATGGATATATTGTCAAACAACTTGATATAGTGCGAAACAAGAAACGAAATTTGCTCAGGTAAAAAAATCCAAAATTTTATGGATGACGTATGTTTTTGTGAAAGCTATTTTCAGGATTTTTTGGCCGTGGTCTGCAGGTTTTTATGCCTGACGTTTCGTCTACTATTGCGGTAAACATTATCTAAGGCGATGTGGTAACGGTCGCAGTGCCCGAGTTGTTTCCGCTCCGAATGCGGTAACTACGACTGATATTCGACTCTAGTTTTATATTATTTTCAGTAGACGTGGCTTGGTTTCTCTTGATTGGATTACCTGACCTTGTTTGTGTACCTTTGAGGACAGGTAGCCAGATATTATTAATGTTCATTGCCTCTTCTTTTCTATTGAAGGTATCCCTGGGTTTTTGAATTCCTATTGCCTCTCTATATACTCTTGGATAGTAATTTTGAGTTTGATCCAGTATTACTGTATCTTCGAATGAGATAATATGAGTGCTTTCTTTGTTGAGAACATGTTAGGCTACAACGGGTATGTCGATTTATCCGAGTCGACAATTTACCTGCAGACCACGGCCAAAAAACTCGAAAAATAGTTTTCACACACTTATCTTAGGCCGTGAAAGTTTACATTCTTTACTGAACCACGTTATTCACATTCACCGTGTTAGGAATCACACGTTAAAAGGTAAGACCTCGATAATCCTTAGCTCGCACAAGTTCAGACTTCTGAGGATTGTCGTTCGTAGGGATGCGACAGCTACAGATATATGCAATCAAATTTTCTCAGGTAATTAGCAATAGATAGAATAGTAATAAAAGGTAAAATTGGATCCTCTGGTATAGAATAAATTATAAACAAGCACTTGTCTCAATAAGATGAAGGAAATCAATTCGTAACTCTAAAATTGGCCTCTACTCAAATCTAACAAGGTAAAATTTCACTTTCCAACACACATCGATGATTTCGGGTAGAAACTCGCGGGAAATTTTCTCGTGAAACTTCCACAAAATAATTCATAGAAAGATTAACAATAGATTGACAATTAGACTTTTCTCACGGCTCATAGTTGTCGTGCCACATTTTTTTATTTCCAGACTTTTGAAAGCACCCAAAAATCTAGTGTCATGTACCGATGTCAACAATTTAATGCAGTTTTCATTTATTCTATGGCTATTCAAACGAAATCGAATGCTTAAGCATTTTCATCAAATTCAAAAACATGTAAAGAAATTTCTAATGAATAAGAAACCATATTCACCAGAGGAATATTTCAGCTGACAGTCATATCTTTGTTGTGACACTATTCTATTTTTATATTTTATATGTCCTGTAACGTATTTCTGTGAAATAAAGATTATTGTTATTATTCTGCATGAAAGCAACACTAGATTTTTCTGATCTCCAAAATCGGATATGTGCTGTGTGTTCTTTGAAACGAGTTCTAATAGATCTCATAGTTTGACCGATATATTTTTTGTCACCGTCCTCACAGCTTCTTTCGTATATCCTCGACTTTTCATTTTCCAACATATTGTCTTTAGAGTTACCTAAGATTTGTTGAAGTGAGCAAGAAGTTTTGTAGACGATACAACAGTTCAAGTTCTGTGTTATATGTCTTCGTGGAGGCATCCTTTATGTCTGAGGACCAAGCTGTCTCTGTCCAGTTGCTTTCTATGGATGTATTCTTGCTATTTATGTTTGTTTGTCGGGATAAGTTTTTATTCTTAATGTGTTCATCTTATTGGTTTAAATGTATCATCTGGAAGAGATATCATTTGCTCTGAATTATGTCAAGATAATTGATTTGCTGTTGATGGAAGTGAATTGCTTATTAGGAAAGTTATTTTTAACTTTCAGGAGTTTTTTAAGTGTTTATCGCTGATGATTGTGTCCATGTCCAAAATTATCTGCCCCAGGAGCTTGTTTTCATCTTTCAAGTGATCTACTTCGGAACGAATTTCTATATTTGTATACGGTAACTGATATATTATTCTGGGAATCACTTCCCAATATATCTTTTCTCTTTTTTGGAAAAAAGCTTTTTGGCTTTCTAGTTCTCCATACAAAATTTCCCAAGAGAGGGAGCTTTCTCCCAAAAACTTATCTCTACTAAACCTCTACTCGTTTTGTACAAGTGGACAGAATCAACACAGAACAGCCTTGTATACATATATTTTTCACAATAATGGGCAACGTTTCTTCAGCCCATATGAATTACCATTTTTGTCGGCCGCTATCTTTAACTAACTGAACTGTGTAGAACTCATTGATATCGACTCACATTTTTCGTCTTTTTTATCTTTTCAAGATTATCTCTGACACCTTGATGTGCTTTCTAAATCATGAATAGATATGTTTTCTCTCAAGAGACTCCTTTGAAAAATCTGCAAATGATAGATGGACAGATAAGAAATACTTTCTGAATAAAAGCAATTCTCTCCAGAACAAGTAGAGTTCTAACTCGTCAAATAAACTAGTATATATTCGCTTGAAACAATCTGTAATGAAAAAATACACAAATTTCAAAAATAAAGTATCAGGCATTTATTTGTCAACAAAGTTCTGTTGAGTCTATTTTCTGGTAAAACCACTCATATCAGAGCAACTTTATTAGCTAGTGAAAAAATTATGTAAAAAATACTGTATAATAGTTTATATTAGTTTTCAGTATAAAAATTGATTGGAGGTATTCAAAATTAAAAATTGGCATTAAATATATTCTTTTGTAATCAATAATAAGTCACTGAATCGCTTATGTATTTCATAAAATTGTAATGTTCGGAAATGAAAAATTCTTTGAAATAAACTAAGAAATGATTCCTAAAATCCTGAGATTCAAAAAAATCATTGATGATAACTGAAAAGGTATTCACTGAAAGTCTCAAAATATTGTTTCAGTTAATTTAGTTCCTCCTTGAAATGGTAGTAGGGAAATTTTTATTTATTTGTCAAACACTGTATTCAGAACTGAACACAAATATTTTGAAAGAAACTGGACAACCTGAAAAACCAGGCTTGATATTTTCATGTAGATTCCATGACATTATCTTGTCATGAAGACAGGTATCACTTCATATATCAGGAACGTCAAGTAATAAAGAGATCTACTCATCTCCTCCTTTCTTTAACGGTTTCAAGCCGATCCTTTGCCTATGCAATTCCAAGGCACATACCTCAGCTACCACCCTATCACCAACTTGCAGGTTGAAACCTCCTAATTTACTAATATGTATCAAAGCGTCCCTACCGACTCCAATATCCACAAAACAGCCAAAGTGAGTGACATTCTTCACTCTTCCACTAACTTCACTTCCAAGAGAGATATCTTCCATACTCTTAAGTCCTGATCGAAACAGCTCTATTTGAGGTACCTCGGAACGCAGGTCATAGTTCAAAGGTTTTGAAAGAGCATCAAGAATCAGCTGAAGGGTCTCTTTAGGCGAATTGAGTTCCTCAATCAGGTCTGTTATATTGAAGTTTGAGAAGGATTTCACGGATGTAATGAATGGACTTTCACCTGCAATCACAACAGCTTTTATTTAGTTCTTGAAGTCCACCAAGTAAAGAAAAAAAATCAAATAGAAATAAAGTACCTATATCATCAACTTTCAGCTTTAATTTTTTTATCAACTTTTTTGCAATACTGTATGACTCTGGATGGATATACGTGCAATCAAGTTTAGTAGTTTTAGGTGACTTATAAAAGTTGGAAGCTTGTGTGTTATCAGTGGGGCCCACCCTCAAGAAACCTGCGCACTGTTCAAATGTTTTGGGTCCAATACCAGAAACTTCAGTAAGTTGCTTGCGAGACATGAAAGGACCATTTTTTTCTCTATGTTCGACGATTTGGGTGGCCCTTTTGTCAGAAAGACCGGCAATACGTCTGAAATGAAGAAATTATCAATATTAAAAAAATGACACCAAATAAATAATATATTGAGAAGCATACAGGCAGGCTAGTACGGAACAAAATAACAGACGAATAAACATTACATATATGAAAAGTATACATATTTAGTAATACAGTAAAGAATGTATTTATGTTCACCGTTCATCATAATTGTCACAATACACAATGTCATATGTATAATTTTCAGATGTCTAATTTTACAAAAATTGAAGGGTTCAATCTTACTTCCGAGTATATTGAAATCGAGAGAACTGAAAACGGAGCACGTGAAAATGCCGGAAAAGGAGCACGTAAAAGTGCCGAAAAAGGAACACGTGACAGCCGAAAAATGAGCACGTGAAAGTAACGAAAACGGATCACGTGAAAGTAACGAAAACGGATCACGTGAAAGTAACGAAAACGGATCACGTGAAAGTAACGAAAACGGATCACGTGAAAGCAACGAAACGAAAACGGATCACGTGAAAGTACCGAAAACGGAGGGCGTGAAAGCACCGAAAAAGTTGTCGTGAAAGTACCGAAAATGGAGCACATGAAAGTACCAAAATGGAGCACATGAATGTACCAAAATGGAGCACACGAAAGTACCAAAATGGAGCACATGAAAGTACCAAAAAGGAGCGCAAATTGTTTTATTTCACTATTTTGCGAAAATCTTGAAAATTTATGTTGTCATCCTTCCAACAGATAGTATGGAAACCATATAACGAAGTGAAAAAAATATGGATTTAACTTGTGCACAATATATGATTTTTAAATGTCTTGTTTTTTTGGGTATTTAACCGTTCACAATCTGAAAAGTACAAAAATGAAGCTAAACCAATAGAAAATCTGCTGAAGTGTAATACAGGGCAACCTGCCCGAAAAACAGCAAGAAACATTGACTCCAACACAAAAAATGTCTTTCAAAAAATATGATTTCTATAGACTTAGGTCTCTAGCAGAGCGAAGTGTGGAATCTAATATTTTATTATTTTATGTGCTCGAGATGAAATTTCTATTATACGGTGCATGAAGGAATTTTTTCTATCAAAAATAACTCATAGATCTTTCAATTTATCAGTCAATTGTATTACTAATACAATTTAGCAAAGAACTATGCCATGAAGAAAATAATTTCAAGAATACCACTAAAAAAGGTCCCTCAAGCTCGTGTGCCCTCCGATTAGGTTATTTCACTATTTCCATTTATACTACTTTGGAGTGACTAACAAATGGCTCACCCATTAACAAAGCCAAAAAAAAGCAATTCCTATTTGGAAAGTATTTTCCTTGTCATCAGACATTCATACAGATAACCCTAAATATGACTGATATGTATAATGTGAGAAACTGGCATTTTTTCATATATAAACTATTGGCTATTGCCAACAAATTACAAAATATAAGTTGAATATTTGTTTTATAAAAGTATACTGCTCTTACCTTAGAAGACACTGCGAGGCTGTGTTCAAATCTACTCCAACAAAACTAACACATTCCGAGACAACTTCGTCAAGGGCTTCCTCTAGAGATTTCTTTTTAAGGTCGTGCTGATACATCCCAACTCCCAAATGTTTGGGTTCAACTTTCACCAATTCTGATAACGGGTCTTGCACCCGTCTGGCTAGAGAAATAGCACTAATGATGTTCGTGTCCAAATAAGGGAACTCTTTCTTAGCTTCAGGACTGCAGGAGTAAATCGATGCTCCGTCCTCATTCACAATCGTATACTTCACATTTGGAATGTTGAACTCGTTGTTCTTTATCAGTTGTGTCAACCATTCTTCCGTCTCGCGGCACGCTGTTCCATTGCCGAGAGCAATGAGAGAACAACTACAAAAAAAAACAAAAAAATGATCTACGATAATCCGTTAAGTACTATAGAATTAATTTTGAAATCACTGAACATAAATAGAAGGAAAATTACAATCATTCATACTCACTTATGATTCTGCAGCATATATCTCAAAATGTCTCTCGAAGCAACCGTATCATGGTGTGGTTTGTGAGGATAAATAACATCGCTTGCTAAAACAGACCCCAGAGGAGATACCAAAGCTACTTTACATCCCTTTGAGTAACCAGGATCAATGCCCAAGATTGGTTGTCCTTTTACAGGTCCAGCAAGTAAAAGGTGTTTCAAATTTTTACTGAAAACCTCATATGAAGCCTTTTCTGCCATATTTCTGAGCTCAGCCCTGATTTCTCTTATTATAAATGGTTGTACTAGAAATGAAAGGTTGTAGTTTTAGAGAAGAGTTTTTTTATCAAAGAAATATGTAGTACCTAATCTATTATAAGAGTCTTTTACAGCTTCATCCAGAATTCTCTTTCTATTGTGATTGAAGTCACCTTGTTTTACCCATTTCTGGGAACAAAACTGATTAAATTTGTGAAAAACGATATCTGGTGTCACGATCTTGACAGACAAAACTTTTTGATGTTCTCCTCTATTTATCGCCAACACCTACGTGACATCTCTTTATGAAAAAGTGGTGAATACAAAAATTTTAATATTACTGGAGTTTTCTCCCAACACCAAACCGTTATTTTTAACACCTCGACATGTGTTTCGATCACCAAGTGATCATCTCCAAGAGGAATATTAAACTAGTTAGATTAGTTTCATCTTTCTCTTGAAGATGATCAGTTGGTGATCGAAACACGTGTCGAGATGTTAAGGTAGAATCAACAAAGATTAGTTTCATCTTCCTCTTGAAGATGATCACTTGGTGATCGAAACATGTAACGAGGTGTTGAAAATAACGGTTTGGTGTCGGGTTACAATTCCAGCAATATTCATTACTACACCAAAGGTTCCAAACAGTGAAAAATTTGAGTCCTAATACCTGATGAGGTTTCATGTTCCTTACAGAAACTTTGAAATCAAAGTAATTTTCAAATTTTGATTCGTCTACTTGAGTTTTGCCTAGTTGCTTCTTCATGTCGTTTGAAATTATTTTCAATTTTTTCTTGGTCTGTACTTTTTTGCTTTCCAAAGTGAAATGAACCTCCTTTCGACTGAAAAGAAAATAATAAAAATAATATTTATTTTGAGTCAAAGACGTTGACAAACGTATAGGATAGGTCAGCATTAAGCACATAAAAATCACATCAAACGATAAAAAAGTTTACATTTTATAGACCAGTCAGTTAATAAAATACAAACTACACACAATAATACAAACTACAATTAAATATAACAATTTCAAGTTTCAAGAAAATACATTTATCAGTTGCTATTTTAGTAAAATCGTCAATACTATAAAGACAATGCTCAGTCAGTATGTTTTTCAATTTGTACTTAAATATTTTAAACGATAAGTTGCGAAAATGGATGGGTAGGGCATTGAAAAGGTAAGTGTCCACTTTTTGCGTCTTTTGCAACCTCAATTGTGGTTTTATCAGATTGTTCTTGGACCTGGTGTCATGGGCGTAAACATCAGAATGAACTGAATACTCATTAATATGTTTCCTGACATATAGTAATTTTTCATATACAATGACGGCATATAAAGTCATGATCTTCAGAGCTGGGAATATTACTTTACAGCTCGAGTCCCAATTTGCTTTGACAATTTTTCGTACAGCAGATTTTTGTAAGATAAATACTCTCATTAAATGTGATTGAGCTGAGTTTCCCCAGGCTAATATACCATAGCGAAGAAGAGAATGAAACAGAGAAAAGTAGGTGGTAAGAGCAGCATCTTGATTGACTACTTCTCGAATTTTTTTTATTGCAAATACACATTTAGCAAGTTTGTTACAGAGAGTACTTATGTGTTCAGACCAGTTTAAGTGACTATCGATTAGAATACCAAGAAATTTGGTGGAAGTATAATTACAGCTGTTGTTTAAGGCTCTCGAATCAAAATTAAGAGTTACAGTTTTTGTTTCATTCAGTAAGAGATCATTCGCCGAGAACCATGTTTTGGCTTGATTCATAATTGCCTCAAGGGCAATTTCGGGATCCTCCCGTCTATCAATACTAGCACTGATTGTAGTATCGTCAGCAAAGAGAACTGTTGCTGTATTATGGTAGGTAATAGAAGACGTTATATCGTTGATATAAATTAGGAAGAGTAATGGTCCCAAAACTGACCCTTGAGGCACATCCCTCATTATTTCAAGGGGATTACTTCTTACATTATTACATTCAACAGTCTGAGTTCTGTTGCATAAGTAAGAGGAGAATAGGTCAAGCATGTTTCCCCGAACACCATAATAATTGAGTTTATTCAATAAAGTTGAGTGATCAACACAATCAAATGCTGCTAAATCAGTGAATAATACTATACAATGTTGATTGTTTTCAAAGCAATTTTCAATAAATTTGGTTGAAGAAAGAATAGCATCAGAAGTTGAAACATCTTTTCTGAATCCAAACTGTTGAGGTATTATTATATTAAACATATTAAGATAACTGTTTAGGTTATAGATTGCTATTTCAAAGATCTTTGAAAACGAAGGTAGTATTGATATTTGTCTGAAATTTATTGGTTGAGATGGATCTCCTTTCTTATAAATAGGGATGATTTTAGCTTTTTTTAGTTTAGTAGGAAAGTGACCTTGTGATATACAGCAGTTTATTATATCAGCCGGGGGATCAATAATCCATAATACACATTTTTTTATAATAAAAATATTTATACCATCAAGATCTTCAGTTTTTTTATTTTTAAGACCGTTCATTATTACTCTCACATCATCTGGAGTGACTGGTTTAATGAATAGAGACTGTGCAGAATTAAGTTTCATATTAGAGAGTAAAGTTTCAGAGTCAATCGGGGATTTAGGTATTTTCTGAATCATTCTGTCAGCATTTTCTACAAAAAAAGAGTTTAACCTGTCTACAGATATGTCATTGGGATAAACCTTTTTTTGGGTTCTTCACGATTTATAACTTGCCATACAGCTTTGTTATAATTATTTGATTCATCCAAGAATTTTTGATTATGAGCTTGTTTAGCTGATTGTAATAGAAGATTGTACACTCTTTTGTACTCATTGTAAGCTAGTTTATTATTATCAGATGGATATTTTTTACAGTAAGAGTGCAGAAAGAGCAATCTGTTTTTTGCAGCAGTCACTTCAGCTGTAACCCATTTTTTAGAAATATTTTTACGTTTTTTATTTGGACCAATGAAGCAAATATTATAGTAATATAATATCATCTGATATGAAAAAATAGAAAATGACAAATCCAAGTAGCCTAAACTCATTTATTTTATAGAACTCTTTCATTAAAAAACCCTAGTACACCTGAAACTTTATACTGGAAATTTACTAGATGTTTTCAAAGTTCAATTTTAGTATAATTCAGCATAAATTTCATCTTACCCAAAAATGTATTTCCCAATATTGAAAAACGACTAAATATATTTATATTATTATTAACAAAAATGGATCTGTAAAAATCTACGCTTATTATTGGCTGATATCAAATTGAATATGTTCTAAATGAAGCTTAATTGTGCAGAACCTCAGTTAACTAAGTATATCATAGTTTGATATTTTTTCCTTTGAGATATCAATAAAGTTAATGTGAGTATACTTACAATTTTCTCAAAAATGACAGCATATCTGTATCAGTTGAAATAACATGCGCAATAATGTGTACAACACCTTTTTCAACGTCTGTAATCGTTTTCAATTCTTTTGATGTGTTGACGAAATAATTCAAATCAACTCTTTCTGAATTATAGAGAAGGTTCAAAGCAGGTTTCTCTAAACCCATATCCTTTGCTCTCTGAGCTAATGTTCCCTTAGATTCTGGTTTGTAAGGAGCAAACTAAAATGAACATGTTTAGATTAACCAATGTTTCTTGGGGCCTAAATACAAATGATAAAAAAATAATGTAATAGTGTATTATTGAAAGAAATTCTGTAATAAAGTTCATTTCATTAGGAAATCAACTATACTGATTTTTCAACTTCACCCTTATTTGGTTTTTTATTGGACACTTATCCAATGGAATTGATTTATTTTTTCAAACGAATAATAATGTTATATTTACGATAATTTCAAGTTCTTCTAAACTCCTTGACGATTTTATTGCCTTCTCTAGAGGTTGAGACAATTTGCCAGTTTTCTCTACTGTATTTAAATCAGTCTGGATTTTATGTTTCAAACTAATAATTTCCTCAAAGTCTGACTTCACTTCTCTCAACATTTCTGGTGACATATTACCTGTAAAAATATAAAATTTAATTCTATAATGCAGACGATACCAATTTATTAATATTTGAAAAAAGCATAGACGTGCTACTGAGTAAAACCGAGAGAATTTATGAAGACATCATTCGGTGGTCTGAAAAGAATTGTCTGTTACTGAATCACAACAAAACAGTCAGAGTATTTTTTGAGAGCTCCAAACAAAGATCACCTGTATTGTTCAAAAATACAGAAAAACAAATACATTTTTTGTTTACAATGAAACAGGCTATCGGAAATAAATTTTTAAATGGTTAACAAATAATAAGACAAAAAGTTACATAGGAAATAAATTTTAGGGGTTGTGTTTTCCACCCCTTACAACCATGGGGTAAACCAAATGAATTTCTGGCTAAGTGTCTTTTTGGTAGTACAAAACGTCAAGTTAATTTCAATATTATAACTTTTTAGTGCTTGTGAAAAAAATTGTTATATAGCTTCATCAGACCAGAACCTGTCATTGGCATCATTTAAAAAAAACATTATTTCCGCGTATACACCACCAGTAGTATGTACTCTGAGGTCAACTAGAACACTCAGCATCATCATCTTTGATAATAATATCTACCGCAGTTGTAGACGAAACTTTAGGTATGAAAACCTACAAACCACAGCCTATTTTAAACTGCAATATCTCAATGAATACTTAGTCAATTTAATCAAAGTAAGCGACAGTGCACATTTGCCAACGTAACACAAGTTGATATATTCGACAAAGTCCGTTTATTCCTGCTCCTGATTGGCGAAGGTTCTACCGGTAGATAAGTCATCGAGGAATGCTTGAAAAGGTGGTAATCAGTTGGCGACAGGTCTGGGGAGTATGGTGGATGAGGCTAAACCCACTTTTCATCACGCGTGACGAATTGATCCAAAAAAGGATCGTGTTAGTTGCGCAAAAGCAAGAAGAGCAGACCTCAAAAGTGACAATTTTCGTCGATCCTTAAAATCGTGGAGCACCCACTTTTTGGGAAAAAAAAGTTAAATTTGGAAAAAATCAACAGCATCAATATATAAAGTACAACATTTTCTATCAATCAGTACACACCACGACACAGTAGAATAAATATTTATTGAGATATGGAGCTACAAAAACAAATAACATTGAAACGAACAAAACTATCAAAATAACCTAATAATTACTCACCAGTGGCCTCTCTTCTATATCTGGCTATAAACGGTATAGTATTTCCATCCATCAGCAGTTTAATAATGTTTTTAGCAATTTGTGGTCCCAATGATTTATTTTCTGCTAGAAGTTCGTGGTCTTTCCATAAGGGATCATACTCCTTGCATTTGTAGTGTCCAAAAGATTCCACATTCGTAGTGTCGTCTTCAATTACGGCTTTCCTCAACTTAAAAAAATTTAACTACTGCTAATAATGAAATTAGTAGTTGTATTATAGCAGGGGAGCCCACGATGCAAAATGGGAATTTACTCGAGCGTCATTGAGACATATTAGGTTGCAAAGCTTAGATGATAAGAAGAAAAAAATGTTATATAATATAATATACACCTTTTCATCGGTGGAGGAAGCGGCTATAGATTTTTAAATATGTAAAAAAATACTGTTGCATGGACATACTCGAGCGCGTCAGATATTGACAGCATCAATGTCTTACGCATTTTTAATAATGTTGGTATGTTAATCTGATCGTTTGCATGATTGCATGATGTGGATGGTTGTACGTAAGGGTTAAAAGTGAAAAGAAAAAAAATGTTATCGAGCGCGTTAGATTTTCTAAGGGGGTGTTAAGTGCAACAAAAAAAAGCTCTCATTCAATAATCTGACAATTTCGATCTGACGCAAACTCGCGGCCATCATTATAATGTGCGAAAAAATTTCGTTCATCTTAATGTTTTAGACGTGCTGTCTCATAGTCTGACAATTATCTAGAGGGATTCGCTTAATCTGACAAAAACAATAATTTTTAAACATTTTTTTAATTCATTGAACTTAATTATTCGAAAAGCTCAGGAAATAGCATGCAAATAAATAAGTGCATGTTTTTTAGGTAGAATACTTGTGTTTATAAGAAAATATTTTTTTTTAATGATCAAAAAAATTTTATATTTTATTATCAATTGATTAATTAATGAAGAAAAGAGAAATGGACCTGTCTATGTTTTTTACCACTTTTATTTGTAACTAACATTACTGCAGTTTCGTCCTATAAGGACATTTTCAAACTTACATATTGTATAAGTTTGAAAATGAATATGAAGACTGAATATGTCCTTATAGGACTAAACTACAGTAACGTTAGTTACAAATGAAAGTGGTAAAAAACATAGAAAGTTTAATTTCTCTTTTCTTCATTATGATTTCCTGCCACGTAGTAACGGCTACATCCATCAAATTATTGATTAATTAATCATCATCATCATCTTAATCACGAACGAGTCTCTGTGATCAGCTATGATGGCGTCATGGCAAGAGAATTCAGAGTGGGGACGGAGTGAGAGAGTAATAGATAGGGAAAAAGTGAATCGAATATAGAGGAATTGAAACTCGGAGAGGGAAATATAGGTATCACACAGCTGCACGCATTAAACTTTATTGTCGAATTTTTGTTATTTCGGCTTGCGGAAATCGTCAGATTATATATTTTTCGTTATCCTTGAATTATTTCCTTTATAATAAAAAAAAATTTGCTACGCTCGAGAATGTCGAAATGACGTTATTTTTTTACAACTTTGCTGCCCTCCCCTTTCTTTACGTTACTCTCAAATTGTCAGATTACTGGAATATACACTTTTTAACAGGTAATTAACTCACCTTACCTTAATCTGACGCGCTCGAGAATTTCTGATGATCAATTTTTTTTTTACTAATCTGATCCTTTATCCCTCACAGGCGGCCTTATATATGGGGCTCATATTTGGTGGAGGTACTTAACCGGGTACAAGGTATCCCCCTGTATATTAATCTGCCGCGCTTTAGTAAATCCCGAAATCCCCGCTTGGGCTTCCCTATTATTATGAACAATGTACACGCGAAAAGTAGGGGTTGACTACCTGCCACTTTGTATTCTCTTCATGATAACATACAAATTGAAAATGTCGATTGTTTTAACAATATTCTGCTAATACTGGAAGAACACAGGTTTCATTTTTTGAGTAGAAATGTACTTTAACGCTGGTAGAGAGGACTGGATCCTCCGGGAGAAGGAAATATTGAGAGCAGATAGTCGTTGGTTCACAGATGGATCAAAAACACCTTCCGGTTCTGGTGTTTTTAGTCGCAGACCTAGGACAAAAATATCAATCTACCTAGAAACCTATGCGACTGTATTTCAAGCGAAAATTTACGCTATTGAATTGTGTGCGGAGAGATTGGAAGAATCCAACCTCATACACAAGTCAATAAAAATATTCTCGGACAGTCAAGCGGCGTTGGAAGCTCTTGGCTCCTACCGAGAAACGTCTAAATTGGTAGCAAATTGCCAAAAATGACTCTCCTCGATAGGAAGACTTAACAGATTGTCTCTGGTCTGGATTCCTGGCCATACTGGCCTGGAAGGCAATGAGGCTGCTGACTCCGTTGCAAAGGAGGGTGCTGCAAGCAGCTTCATCAGACCAGAACCTGTCATTGGCATCACTTTTGGCTTTGCCAAACAAATATTGAACATTTAGATGGCAAAAAGATATATGGACTTCTAGCAGAATCTTCCAGGATTGGCTCACTCCAAGGCGTTTATTCACACTTCGAAGCTTGATACCAAACAGTTGTAGGACTACACTAGGGATGAACTACAATATCTAACAGGCCATCTTACAGGTCACTGTCATTTGAATCATCATATGCAGAGACTCGGACTGTCGGAAGACAGTGTGTGTCGCCTCTGTTTGGAAAATGATGAAACAGCAGAGCACATACTTTATGCCTGCCCCGCTGAGAACCGAATCAGGTTTTTAGAGTTCGGCAGAGCCGTACCCTTACCATTTGACTTGAAAGACCACTCACCATACAAACTAATCGGCTTCGTTAAGAAGCTGGATGTATTTGGTAACGTGTGAATAGGTGTGAGCCACAATAAACCCTTGCGAGTTGCGGTGGAGACTCGAATAGACCCACTCACTTTGGACCTCACCTAACTTTAGCGTTGAATTATGGAACCAGTAGATGACTTGATCAGTTTTTATAATCGTTAATGACTCATTAGAGTGTTCCTCTCAACATAAATTTTTAGTAAAAGACAAAAAATTCTTTCACTATGAAATGCGAAAGCTTTCTTTAGGAAAGTAATAATTTAACAAATCAAAAATTTCATAAAAGTATCTTTGTTACCGTTCTCTTGGATTTTTTCGAAGTAGATGGTACCTCATCATCAGCAGTTGGAACTCCATCATTAGCCTTGGCCAATTTTCTTTTCTGAAATTAATGCAAAGTTTGTACAAAGGTGGATTCTTGCACCAGTCAAAAGTTTCAAATCATAAGTTGCAACTTTCAATTTGTAAGAATTCATATTGCTAATATTTGTTATGAGACATGTTTTTAAATATATTCAAATGACAGTTCATATTCTCACTTGACAATTTATACAAAAATCGCATTACATATTTCGCTATATAATAGCTTCTTCAGGTGTGTTCAATACTATGTATACACTGAAGATTTGTTTTGGGAGTTACGTGTTATGGTTTTGTAAACTGTTGAGTGAAAATATCATGACAAAGTGTTATTTGAATACATTATAATAGATTTTCATCAAGTATTGGCCAGTTCCATCATGAATTCTCCTTAAATTACAGTCTCAATAATTATTTATTTATACAAATTCAGAAACACAGTAACACAATGTTAAAAAATGCATGCTGCCAAATACATGGACTGTTCAAAAAATAAGGTAAATGTTCAAATTTCGCGAGTTACGTACTTTCCATTAAGTTGGTACACTCGTCTCGAACATATGTTCACAGTTTCAGCTGTTCAGTTTGGTGAAAGGTATAAAAGTTAGAAGTTTATTTGAAGGTGGTTGACAATGTTTTGTGGTATATTTCATCAGTTCGGACTTCCATTGTTTAATATAAATTGATATGAAATCCCTGAAAAAAATTTAAGAAGATCAACCGAAAATAACAATTTTATCAAACACTTTCTTTCTTTCTTTTCAATTTCAGTTTTTTGTTTAATAAAATTGTTATTTTCGGTTAATCTTTTTAAATTTTTTTCAGGTATTTCACATCAATTTATATTATATTAGACAATGGAAGTCCGAACTGATGAAATAAAAGTTAGAAGTGTTGTGCGTGTTGGCGATGTTCGGCTATCGAAAAAAGTGGATCAAAGAATTTGCATCAAATTTTGTGTAAAAAAACTAAATTAAGTGCTCAAAAAACGCTTGAAATGTTGATTGTACTCTAAGTCAGAAAAATATTTCAAAGTGGAACAAACTTTTCACAGAAGGTTAGGGAAGATATGAATGACGACTCGGCCTGGACGCCCCAGCACATTTAGAACCAATGAAAATGTTGAGAAAGTGAATAAAATTGTTATGGAGAATCGTCGAATCACTATATGAGAAGTTGTTGAGGATGTCGGCATATCGGTTGGTTCATGCCATGCAATTTTTTCGGAAATTGATTTTGACCAAAAAACCGTCGCAGGAATTCTTGCCACATGGTCGTACGGTCAGAGTATGTCCTATTATTAATACTTATGGCACCCCTGCAATGGCAGTCATGTCAGAGGTAACATATGCAAAATTTATATGGCTCGAATAAAAGAAAGAAGTTGTATGAATATTTTGTTACGAACTGTCATCATGAGAAAAACAACTGTCTCTTCCAGTGACCTAAACTCGTATGTAATGGAGAAGAAGAAAGGCAAAATATTTTTCCCAGTATATACAATTTTGACTACAATATCTAATGAAACAGATACTAGATGTTGAGGACACTCTCATAGGTTCCTGTGAAATGAATTTAGAGTTTCTATGACAACTGTTGAGCTGGATTTATAGATTAAGTAACACAAACATAAGGCTAATAAAGACAGCTCTGTAAAAAGATGCCAGATAAAAGTGCTTAGATTGGCTCCTGCTGAACTATTTCTAACAGATAACCAATCAGACAATGGAATTTCTGTTTTCAACAGTTTTGACTGTTAGCTCCCGCAAGTAGAATGCTACAGTTCAATTGCACTGACCACTGAAATGTGTGATCAACGAAATGAACTTTTGTCCTTTAAGGTTAATGATTGCTTAACTTACGTCTTAACACTGTGTTACTCAGTCTATAGATACAACTTTCGATTTTTTTGGATTGATGATTTTTATTGTATGAAAACATTCACCTTAGGTGCTTTAGAAGTAGAAGCCTCTTGCTCATTGTCTGAAATAACTATTGGATCTTCTGAAATCTCAACTATCTCAACATCAGGAGATTTTTGTTTTCTTATTTTATTTGGCAATACTTTCTCAGTTTTTGTTTTCCTTTTCTAGAAAACATATTGATGGTGAATTGAATAACGTACGATAATCTAAAGATTCACCTTCTGTTGTGGTTCATCATTCATTCTATTTACAGAATGTACTACTATGTTTACAAATTAATGTTATTCACAAGTCTTGTAATGAAAAATGAAATGTTGAATATGATAAACACAACCTTAACCTAACTTTTCAAAAAAACAATTCCCAGAATTTTATGTCTTTATAACTTAAGAAGAGCTTCTAACGTCAATGAGAAAGTATTTAGTATTCCATGAAGTGTTTACCTATAGAGTACACAAGAGTACACCATAGGTGTACTCTTTGATTGCAACTTCAAACATGCTTTTTACTAGTAGGTATCCAATATCCAATTATGTTAAAGCCCTGACCACAGTATAGTGTTTACTTCTAAACGGTGCCAGTAGTGTCACTCTTGTCGGAACCTTTGATGTTTGTGTAGGACTAGCGCGCATCCATTATTTCCTACCACAAGTGGTTTTGTCAGCGTTTGACATTTTATACACTGCTCAACAAGTGAATGATAGATATAAACGCTCGACAGTAAAACAAATTTCATGGAAAATTAATTGGGTGTTTTTTTTAGTAATATAGAATATTATGAAACGCTTTGAATTTTTTATTCAAATTGTTCCACGTTTTTACTAGCTCCTTGCGTGTTTGGTGTGTTTGGTTCAAATTTTGCAATCGATTTGAAAATAAGTTATCGAGTAGCTAAAGGGGCTTGCAAGTTCAAACATAGCTCAGAACTGGCTGACATGCATTATTTTTGGCATTTCCCAAAAGATATCTAAGCGTGGTGCTTGCGCATGAATATTATATATATACCATACTATTCATCGATAAAATACTTCTTAGAAAATTGGGATGAGTTCAAAAGAGTTAGGAATCTTCTGTAACTAATGTATTGCACTACAAATGATATACGAACTGTTGTCAGTTTTCTCAATGACAGCTGTCACTACACTCCTTACTGTATGTATCCCACATTTGTCGTACTAAATATTACAAGTATTTTCAAAGCTATTGCAATCACTCATCATCTGTATCGATTTAAGACTGTATACGACTCGAGAAATTATTTTACTTTTTATAGTATTTAATGCAAGAATATTTGATATTTGATTTTTAAATGAATCTTTGATTGCGTTTAAAAAATAATTCAATGACTACATATAAAAAATAAGCTGATAAAATCGTCAATCTGATAGGCCAAAAGTGGTAAATTACATGAAAAACATGCAAACGTTGCCTATTGTCCAGGCAATTCACGGCGCATCCAAAAACATTCTTCCGTGATTTGATCCTACGGTGGTTTAATACCAAAAAGTAGGGATAGTGACCTTATTTGGTCTTCAGCTTTCTACTGTGCACTGACTACGTATTGACAGGTCATTTTAATAACCTTATTTTGAGGTGTAAATAAGGGTTACAGATTATCTCAATGACGACTTCCGTTGAAAGATGAACAACTTTTTCATCCAACTCACCCCAGCCAGGTAAGGGGTACACCGTGAAGGGTGGTACTGATGTCTGAGGACACTCATGCCGCCATATCATCAACACCCACCATCAGTCATGACCCGTTTGTCCTCCTGGCAAACATCAGTTCATAGGGTAAGGGAGCCAGGCTCCAACCTGATTGAAATCAAGACGACGTGCTGGTCTCAATGACGTAAGAAGATCGAGCACCAACTCGATTGCAGCATAGGTCACAGTATAACTTTTACTGTTCTTAGATTAGATTAGATTAATATGGGGCTTCTGTGCTGAACAGCCACTACACTGCGACCTTTGCAGGTCTATTGTGTGTGCCCTCATGTATGCTAGAGTTCCTTGTCTAAATCCGTCCTTGTAACTAGACTCCATAGGCCAGACCTCAAGTTCATCATATATTGAGAGGGTTGTGGTTTTTCCTGTTTTACTGTTCTAAGGTGGGTTTTATTCAAACGTATGTCATTCCCATCGTTCTCTGCTCGATCAAAATACATCGAGCAGAGATAGCGAATAACTTCAGCGTTGATGACTTGATCTAGTGCTATCCTTGCAACTTGTTTGCTTATTTGTTAATGGCTCTAGTATCTAGAACAATTTGCTAGTCATCGGTGATTCGATCATCACCCTTCTAGTGTCATTCAGGATACCTTAAATATCTCAAATTATTTTAATGCCCCAGAACGATATCAATCTATCAAGGCGGACAACAATAAATATATATTACGCTGCACATACTTGGGACTGTAGACATTCACACAATACAATTAAGGAAAAAAACGTGTACACAGTAGATTCCAACAACACAACTCGATAGACGATACCACATTGACTGAAACTTCCAAAATTAAGATGCGCTAGTGAACCATGTAGAACACAATTTTAATTTTAAAAAATTAACTTACTTCCAATTGACTGCTTTACCAGTTGATGTCTCTTCGTATTAGTTACTATTACCAGTCAGCCCGCCCACTTCAGTTTGTACCAGTTTTTTGTACACTTTTTGAATATATAGTCATATGAGAGTGTCAACTATATCCGTTACAGGTCCAAGTTCTATTCTATTTACGGTTACGACTAAACAAGTTGAACTATATTGAAATTATAATAACAAACGAACGAACCTCTATACAAACAGCAATCCTCTGTAGTCTGCTGGAGTTTTAGTTGAGTAGGAGAATAATGAGAAAATATCAGAATATTTCGAAAAATAAATATGTTTTCCAATAATCCCTAATTTTTAGCTCTAAGAACTATACGTTAAGAGGTGCCATAATTTTTGTAGAGATGTTGTTTACATAATTTTTTCAACACAGTTCTATTTCTTGAAGAGTTCACCACGAACGACAACTTTCAGAAGTCGAAACTTGTGCGAGCTAAGGATTAACGAGGGTTTGCCTTCCAACGTGCGATGCAGTCTACAGGTCTTCTTGATATTCATGAACAAAAATGGAATACAAGTATATTTGAAATTAATTTCTTTCATGGAAAAGTCTGTCAAATAATTCAGTATCAACAGAATCTTGAATACATATGTCTTTATTCTTATTATCTTCTTTTTTGTCACTTCACAAGAATTTTTTTCTGATTCAATTGGTAGAAGTTTCCTCAAAATCAGAACAGGAATAACAGTGAGTTTTGTTTCAAAAAAATATCGAGACCTCTTAATATTAGGCTGAACATGCAACACTTTCAAAAAAAAAAAAAAAGGATTACAAATGAGTTTTCCCCGGCTATAATTTTCATAAGATAGATTGTCTCTGAATCATATTTTGTGTAGAGTATCAATAAAAAAACAAAACAATGATTTTTGAAAAGTTCAACCCAAAATTCTCATATACTTCATATATGAAGTGATTTTAAAAAATGAGAAACTAGCTTCTGAAATTGTATGATTTTGTATTAATTTTTGTAAAACATAAGTGGAATTTCATTTTGAAGATAATCCGGTGTACTACAATTGGTGCAATTGAATTTTCTATTGGTAACACTTAAAAATACCAAAAATTGAAAAAAAAAAGTAATTGCTTAAATGAAGTAAAATGGCAGATTTACGATAAATCACTCAGTGTTTATCATTATATTTTTGCTGCAAATATCACAGTTCATTGCCTTAATTTTAGTTCATCTGTATTTCTTCAAACTCTTCTAAATCATGTCAGTAAGTCGCCATTATGTACATATGAGGATAAATTGCTAATGTTTGAAAGTGGTTCAATGTATAGAAGTTGGAGCTTATGGTCGCAAAATGTTTCGATTTGAAATAGAATTCCTTCGCAATGTTTCGTTTGTTGTTTTGAGGATGACTGTCACACATTTGTGCAGTTTTGGTTTCTAATTCATTATCTATTTTTTAATTTCTTTGCTGGGATGAGTTTTCCATGTTTCTTCTACTTTTTTATTTCAGAAACTGTGAATACTGAAGAGAGATCCATTGCTACTATATCAAAACAACAGCATTTGTAAAAAAGCAGGCTGATAGTGCTAACATTTATCTTGAGAAACGGAGTGGAAACTTATAATGCCTTCTAAGAAGTTGAATTTTCGTGATAGTACCGGCATCTCAGAGGAAGAAAGAAAAGTTGTGAAAAATTCTTTCACATGCCTATTATGTCCAGAGACGTTTTCACACGAAAGCACTCTGAAACGCCATGCCAAATTACATTCAAATAGAGCTCTATTCAGTTGTGATGTTTGTTTCAGAAGCTTTAATAAAAAAACGCAGTTGAAATTACATAAAAAAGTACATACTCGTAAAAAATCTTACCAATGCTCAATTTGCACTGAAAGTTTCACAAATAGTTCAAATCTATCCAGCCATCTTCAAACTCACAATAGCAAGAACCTATTTGAATGTACGGTTTGTGGAAAGTGCTTTACTAATAGATATATACTGAAGAGACATATGAAAACACATCCTTTGCATAATAATCCAACACAAGATGGAAAAAATATATTCAAAAAATCTATCAACTGCGCTTTGTGTACTAAGACTTTCACTCATGAACGCGGTTTAAAACAACATAAGAAACTCCACAATAAGGAAAGTCCTGTTATGTGTGATGTGTGTTTCAAAGGGTTTTCTCTGAAACTCGACTTGAATTCACATATGAAAGTACATACTGCAGATAAGTACCACAAATGCAAAATATGCAGTAAAAACTTCTTACACATCACTACTCTGTCTAAACATACACAAAATCATAAGGATACACAATTTAAGTGTACAATGTGTGAAAAGTGTTTTAAAAGGAGAGATCTACTGAAGCTACATATGAAAGTACATCCCTCTGCAATAATGGACAGGACTCAGGAACATACCTTGGAAGTTGCTGATATTAATAAGCCTTCCGAACTGCTGCTCAGAAAAGAAAAAGAGAACAAATTGCCAATCCAGTTGAAAAACGCCAATATTTCTAAACATAATAGAAAAATGAAAATTTGTCCTCGCCCTAATCTTCGGCATCGGGGGATATCCCATTCACAAGAAAAACCTTTCAAGTGCCATGTTTGCTTTAAAGGGTTCTATCAAAGGTGGAATTTGAAATTGCATATGAAAACACACAGTCATGATAAACTTCAAATGAAAGTACAAACCTCTTCTACATGGGTTGCTTCTTCACAACAGAATCATAGTTTAGAAGTGTCCAACTCTAATAATTCAAAATCGTTGATTAATGACGAGGCAGATGAAGATGATGTGCCTTTAATAAGTCTATTGCATTTTCCTAGCAGGAATATTTCTAAACAAAATATGGTTAAGGATCCTTCCATATTTAACTTGTTCCCAAAATCATCTTTATACAAACGCTCACTCAAGCAGCAAAGAAAATCCCAGTCGACAGAAAGACCTTTCACCTGTAATATATGTTTCAAGGGGTTTCAGCAGAACACAAAATTGAAAGTACATATGAAAGAACATTCTGGAGAAAAACCCTTTCAATGTAAAACTAACAGTGATAAGGAAAATCGATATATTAAACCGTCATTAGAGAGCGTAGAGTATGAAAAATCCTTTATTAAGAGTTCTCAACTAAAACATGACATGAAAAGACATATCCCCTCTGAAAGATGTATTACTTATGACTACTTGGAATCAAATCCCAGCAATTTTGAATCATTGGGTAAAGAATTAACCGTAGATGAGGAGAAATCTCCAGCAATTGAGTGTGTCGATTTATTATCTTCTAAACCTCCAAATTTAGAGCAGGAAAAGATAGCTTCAAAATCTTTCAGCTGCAATTTATGTTCAAAGACTTTTTCATTAAAAAGCACTTTAAGGCAGCATAGGAAATCCCACTCTAATGGAAGGCCGTTTACCTGTAATGTTTGTTATAAGCGATTTGATCTCAAATCAAACTTGAAATTGCATATACGATCACATACTGGAAAAAACCCATACCGATGCAAAATTTGCAAGAAAAGGTTTTCCCATAGCAGAATTTGTACTAGACAGATTCAAACTGAATCTCTTGTGAAACGATTTACTGCAAGTAAATTGAAACATCACCTGAAAACACACGCAAGAGATTCAAAAGAAACGGTTTTGAAAGAATCTCATAAAAATAATGTAGGTTTCGAAGATAAAAAAGTACTTAATATCAAATGTAAGTCAAATGAACCAGACAGGAAGACTGCGGGGAAAGATACAAAAGAATGTTCGATTGAACTAGAGAATCGCTTAATACAAACGAGAATTGAAAGAAAGATTTTTTCAGGAATGTCAGATGATTATTCAGAATTTTTCATCAGGGAAAGAGGAATTGAAAAGGATCATGAATCCAGAAAATCGACCAACAATGATCATGACAAAACTCTGATAAACCAGGATGCAGCTAAAGATGAATTTGAAATATTGAGCGAATATAAAAAATGTCACAACAACGGAGTTCTGTTTTCAGTAAAGACTATTGATATTGAGCTTACAAAAGAGAAGCCTTTTCAATGCAAATTTTGCTATAAGGCATATTCTAAACCCCGAAAGTTGAAATATCACGAGAAAGAAGTTCATATGGGGAAGAATCTTGCTAAAAAGACTTTACAATGTAAATTCTGTTCGAAAAAATATTCATCAAAAAAAAAATTGAGAAAACACGAAAAACGTTTTACAATCGGAAAAGATTCTAATCTAGAGGATTTTGAATATACAGATTCTTTTTCTGGTTCTGTGGTACAAAAAATATTGAAGAAATGAAGGATAAGCTATGGTATAAATATAACACAGGAAACTGCACTTTTGTTTATTTAATCATATATTGACAACTTTCAATTGTTAAGGACAAATACTCATATAGAAGTTCAATTATATACATGGCACCATGACTGAAGATAAAACTTATTGCAAATGATAAACCTGTTAAAGTTCAATAAATTTCATATCATTTATTTTTACTGATATTTGTAAATGTGACGCATTGTCAATTTGAAGTTATATTTTATCTAGGTTAATAATAATGTTTGATACAAAATATTGAAATTTTCATCATTGAACTCCTTAGATTCTACCTAGACTTCTAAAATGTATTTTTTCGTTGATGCTGTTGCCCTTTTATAAACGACAGCCTTCAGAAGTCAAAAGGATAAGCAGTGAATACTGACCATCTCTCAGTTGGGATCGGACAAACGTTCAGCGGTTGAATGAATGATAGAATAGAATGAACCCCTTATGCTAACCGACTACCATCCAAAAGTGTGGGGAAAATGAGGCTCATCTTTTTTTATATTGTGCCACAAGGGAAATTGACATTCATAAAAAGTTGTGAAAATCAATCATTATAAAGGTCGAAATGATGGTCTGGTTTGTAGATTGATTAGAAGACTATAGGTAGTATAATCAACAGTGCTCTTACCAAAAAGATAATTATAATAACTAGCGATATTTTCCAATTCTGGATACGGAGGCAGATTTTGGCCCCCTGAAAGCTAAGATGAGTCAGTATGATTTTATAGCTTTTCTTTTGATGGGCATAGTTGAAATTGTCATTATTATTCCCATTCATGACTGTCATGCTATATATCACAACATTGCACACCTTGTTTCTGCAAGACACAAGCCCATTTCCACTCCACCATCACTCCTATTACTGGTCCATCCGTCCAAGGACATAAATACCAGACTAGAACCTAAAACGACAGTCAACGCTTCGAAGTAGCTAGATTTTAACCCTTGTAGAGACCAACTACGAGACCTGGGAAGTAGGTACATTGAGGCCCCGGCGTCAAGTCACAAAACCTTTGCAGCGTGTCACTACCTGAGGAGTAGGTAAATTGAGACAGTGTAGTGATAACTTCTTAAAAATGGATTTCAAAGTCGAACTACTAAAAACATAAAACGCGGTTCAACCCGCAGTTTTTTGACCTTCAAGCCATTTTCAAGAAAGTATGATCCCATATTGAGGTCTCAATACGCCTCAGGATCTGGTCTAGGATCTAGTATCTATAGACACCGTATAAAAGTAAACTTACTTCTATACGGTGGTATGAGTCGTTTTCTGGCGCTCATGTATTCAAAACGTATTCATATGATTTAAAACTAGCGTCACAGATTATTTAATCTGTGCTAGCGTGGTTAGTTTTGAAACGAAATTTGAAATTATGTTACGTCAGTTGTCAATTTCTGCTTTATTTTGATCGTTATAGTTTATAAAGTGGAAAGTGGGGAAAACTTTTCATGAAATACGTTGTAAGGATGAACAAAATAGAGCTGGAAAATTATTACTTTCACAAATCCGATTATAATGACGTTAGAGAAAATTAAAAAGTTCGTTTTTATTACTGAATTTGACATCTGACACAAATTGAATAATTCCATTCTGGCGAATCTTATTATTAATGACATAACTACGAATCGTTATTGAATACACGCTCGAATACGATTAAACGCCAGAAAACACCTTATGCCTCCAGAAGAGTAGAAGGGTCTAACGGTAGTGGGAGCGAGAGTAGGGTTGTTAGTAGGAAGATTTGGAGTATATAATATTCCGTTCATTTTCCAGCGTTTTTATGCTGCATTCAGGGCAGCATTTTCCGCTTTTGTATCCTAGACGCAGCCATTCTTTTGTGTATTATAAATAATTCTTTGGCAACACCGCTGAAGTTATATAAAATTTGACAGCATTAGGGAATGTCTGATTAATTTTGAACTACTTTTCTTTAATAGAAAATTGACATGAAGAGAAAGTAGCTAACAATATTTCCACGTTAATGTACCGTCTAGATCGTACCTTCCAAATTTTCTAAAGATTACAACATGACAGACCCTAAAAATTCTTTGAATGAAGGAAACATTGGAAATGGTGTACAAATGCTCAAGAAAAAAGAGTCTACAATAAACACCCTGAAACTCCTATGTAAGGACAACGCAGAGTACTTCGCGACAGATAGTACAGAAAATGGACAAAGATTGTATATCTCATTTTTGGCAATGATCGATTCTGTGACTCAGATGTGGCCTAAAGTAGAAGACTTAGAGGAGAATGTTGCACGCTATGATTTTGATGAAAGAACCCCTGCTAATGGCTATCGAAGTTTTTTACTTGTTTCTGATTTAGCTGTTCAGTTGGCAGTTGATTTGAATGAAAAAGTCCTTCAGAAACGGGATAGTGTGTTATTCCGAAAGTCTGTTTTAACTAAGTGAGTATCGATCAACAGAAGTTATGCCAAACTTTTTTTTAACGATTGTGTCATATTTTGCTTATACAGGGAACACTACGATACTTGACTCAGAATTCAGTTCATTTTAGGTTCCAGTAATGATGATCTGGTAATGTCTTAGGTCAGGTATCCGTATCTTCAATTACTTATCGTCAGTTTCCCTTAAATATTATTAGAATAGCAGGGTGTACAAATTTCCAAAATATGCGTTTTTTTTTTCAATTCTAGAGATGTGGAGTCCTGCTCACATTTAATTGTAAGTCTCGACAGTTGTCTAGGGCATCTGAAAACAATGTTGTCTTGGAGTGAAGACAATAATTTATTCATAAAAGATGATTTTTCAATTGAAGAGTTGATTATGCAGTTTGGACAAGTAAATCAACACTGTTTCTATGGAAGAAACCTCGGATTTCAGGTATTTTTCATTCATAAACTAACTTGATAATGCAACATAATCTATTCGGGCATGATTCATGAATCAACTTACTACCGTGTGTGATACCTTGAACTATTTTTTTTGCCATTCTTAATCTTTCTGTTTCAAAATGATTATTTTTTTTTATTCTCGGAGATTTTATAATTAGTTTAAAACCTGTTAACTCTGAAGGAATAAAAATTAAATTAGAATTTTTGTAATGTCCTGTAACTATTATATTCAGTATGTGTAGATTAACAATGATTTATTCATTTTTGATAAACATTAATTATATCAAATGGTATAATATTGAGCTAACATCTTGTACAAAGGAATATCAAGATATAAATGAAAATTCTAATATAGTAAGGAGGGATTAAAAAAAACAGGTAAACACATACTTTTATATAGCATCCTTTTTTTTTACAAGTGAGAAAGTAAGACAAAATAGTTAACATTTGCATTTAATCAGAAAAAGCTTATATTTGGATGATAACTCGTACTCAATTCATTGAAGAGATATAGTTGAATTAACCAGAGTCCTTACAATTTCTTTGAACTTTCAAAGTTAGAAAACCTTTCACTGGCAAATTGTTGAATAATTTGCAATTCGAAACAAAAGACTATCACACTTTCACAGGTGGCTGAGATGCATAGAAACACTGATGTTTTTACTGATTTGCTTTTATTTTGTCAAAAGTTCTCAACGCAATGAGCCTTTTTCCTGATAATAGTACAGCATGTCACGAGAGGCAGCACTAGTAGTGCTACTCTTTTACTAGAGTCTGTATACTAACCTGTCTATTAATTAACTTTTTTTTTCCAGTTACTTTTAAATTACGGTATGCAAGCCAACGTTTTAATGTTACAACATTCTTATCCTTTACAGTTGCAAATTTTAGTTTTGCTCCAGCAACATTTTCTTCTGTTAAAAACATTCTTTTTTAATTGTACTTTACCATATGTTTATATGAGAATTAGGCAGTGTTTGTCCCTACCGAATTACTAACGCTGCTAGTGAGTGATTTTTCATACTTCAGAAAAAAGGTTCATTGAAGAGGTTAACCGAACTTCGTGCACATGTTAATAGATGGCGCCAGAATGAAAATGCAGCATTAAGTCATTTTTTGAATAATTTAAACTGCTAGAAATCTTGTGAAGTAATACAAATTTTATTTATTTTATAAGTATACTATCCTTATGATATTACTAATGCATCTTATTCTTGTTTTCTAAATTTTGAATGGAATATGCATAATTGAAATTCTTCGAAATTAATTAATGGAAGTCACTCAAGAGGAATTCTAATTATAAGACACTGTTTTAGTCAAACACTACACTTGTTCAAACCTAATATAGTTGTGTTTGCTGAAAAGTCTACCTCGTTGGACATGTTTTTTGTTGAAGTATCTCTCAAGTAAACTATTGACGATGAATAGTCACAAATGAATTCACAGTCACAATCCGAAACTATGACAATCTGCAGTTACATAGGTACCTACAAACTAGAAAAGATCAAATTGTGGAAGGACATCCCTATCGACATGATGTTCCGCCATAACTTCTATGTCTTCCATTAAAACGGTTTCATGAAATTAAATTTTATAACCAATTAGTTTCTCTCAATCGGGACCACTAGAGTTATTGAGAGAATTTAGGTATGTCACTGTTCTGAAACCACACCTCGCTTCTTTGTCACTTTCTCCAACATTTTTACTCCCCGAAACTCAAGAATAGCAGACCAGTTGAGTTGAATTCTTTTTCTAAGATGATTATCTGTAGGAAACATATTTAATTTGGTGATGTATTTTATTCTAGTTCTGCGACTCTATAAGAAATGTATTAAAAATCATCACAACTTGTATGACTCTATTCTCTGAAGTTTATTATAATGAAGGATCCCTGATATCCAGAGCAACAACCTCTGTTATGTCCATGAAGTACATCACAGATCCGGAACAGCGTGCGAGAAGGATCGTAAATATTTCCCAAAATGCAGAAGTTGATTTTTGCAAAGCTTTCTGGTTCATGTCGGAGACAGAACTGGTCAACCAGCTACCGTCGATTGTCTCGCCAAGCGTAGCCATCTCAAAGCTAATTCACTTGCCTCCCGAACCTTTGTTTGTAACTACGGCTGATGGTAGAGAAATTGAGATACCTGTGCCTTCTTCATATCTAGGTGAGTCCTGATTTTTGAAGTTTTTCTAGAAAAATGAGAAATTAACCTTTCTAGGTTTGTACCACTTTTATTTGTGACTAATATTACTGCAGTTTTGTCCTATAAAGACATTTTCAAAGTTATACATGTGAGATAAGATTCAGCCCATTTCAGAGCATTCCCTCTAACACCATATCTCTCTAGTTTAACCATCAACAGGTTTGTATCTAAACAATCATAAGCCTTGGATAGGTCCAAAAACATTCCCAAGGCTAGTGACTTTTTTCCATGAAATATAATATATTTTGAGTGAACTGAAAAATGGCCGACATTGTTGACCTTCCTTGGATATATCCATGTTGATTTTTACTAAACATGTTGCATTCATTGAAGAAATCAATTAATTGTGTACAATATGCCAATTCAAATATTTCCGCAAAACTTTGTGGTATACTAATGGTTCTGTAATTTTCCATCACTTCCACATCACCCTTTTTGTAAATAGGTTTCACCAAAGACAGCTTCAGTTGTTTAGGAAATATCCCAAATTTCAAAGAGTTGTTTACGATATAAGCTAGAACTTCTTTTATGTAAACCATATTCTCTTTCATTAGTGAAGTAGTTATTTCATCATCTCCACTACTTTGTTTATTTTTTATTTTATGTCCTAATTCTATGATATGATTTGGTGTAACTTTTTTTAAGTATAGCGACTTATTATTTTCTGTAATATTGAAAGATGGAACATCAGGAATATCTTTCATCATTTGGGGTACAATGTTCAATAAATATTTATTGTATTCAACTGTGATTACTTCAGGTTTTTCTTTAATTTTACATTCTGAAATGTTTTTCCTTGTCAATTCTTTATATATACTCCACGTGCATTTTGTTTTGTTATCAGACTCCTGAATTTTTTTGTGATACGTCTTTTTTTGCTTTTATTAAAAGATTGTTATATTCAATTTAAGAGAGAAAAGCATTATAGACCCTGAAGCCATGCAAATTTATAAAGCAATTGTTCTCATAAACGAGATAAATGAATGAAAGAATTGAAAAACTAGATGAATTTTGATTGTTAAACGTCTACATTTCTATAACCATCTCAAACATTAGCTTTAATAACAAGTCTTGGAGATGTGCCAGAAAGTTTCCAGAAGTTTTTGTTACTCAGAACAGATTGATATTTATTATAAGTTTCCAAAATTGTTCTGGACTAATTTTCTCAAACAGGGCCCTCTCAAGTGCAGCTTCTATATTCATCTTGAAATGTGTCGAATATTCAAAGACGAGACATCCGCCCTGGCAACCTATCAAAAATTTATAATTTCATAGAACAGCTCATTCCAGATGCTTCAGTTCAATGAACCGTTATAACCAGTTGGCTTATATCTACTTCTTTTCATAATTTTCTGTATTTCTTCATTTTATGACAGCATATGCACCCAGTGTACCAAAACCTTGAACGAATAAATAAATTAAATCATCTCTGAGACGGACGAACTATATTGAAACTTACTAAAGGTACATTCATAATGTCACTTTTTTCTTAAGGTAAGAAACCACTGCAGCTACGTCTTATCAGCCACAAGTTGCGGTCAGGAATGATAGGAACGAAAAACAACACCAAAGTGGAGCCGGCTTGTAAAGGGCTGCTATTCCACTGTCACGGAGGAGGGTTTGTGGCACAATCATCCAAATCCCACGAAGGATATCTGAGGGATTGGGCGAAAGATCTTGATATTCCCATACTGTGCGTCGATTATAGCCTCGCGCCAGAAGCACCATATCCCAGAGCTCTGGAGGAGGTTCTTTATGCTTATTGTTGGGCAAGAAAAAATTTCAGACTGCTTGGTAGTACAGGTAGGAAATATTGTAGAAAAATCAAACTGCCACAATACAATGAATGCTTTTTGATTTATCTTCGTATCACACAACTATATATTAATTGAAATTTAAAATATATCTGACATGCTGAAAAGTAAGTCCATCGACGGAAATTCAAAAGCTAAAAAATATTGTGCTTAATATATTCAAATGATACAAGATTCTTAGTGTTAGATTTCATAAAAAAATCATGGAATTCATCATGATTCTGATTTGAAATCTCATACACAAGTGATTACACACGTGATGTTATTAACCAACTCAGTAGCTTCGCGGATTTACTATGGTGCTTCAGTATGTGAACCTTTCACGGAACCTGATGAAAATTAGTTGCAAGCACCTCTAAATGGACTGTATCATACACTCCAGATATCATGTATCCCCTCAAAACCGTTTGGAGGCCTCATATCAGGTGATCCAATGGTTTCTTCTAAGGGACCACGTCTGTCTACCAGTTTGGTAAATTGACCGAACCTAAATGAGGTTTTCAGTGTCATTGCTTTTCGAGTTTGAAGGCCGTGGGTTTTTGGAATCCACGGCTTTCAAACTCGAAAAGCAATGACATTAAATGATTTCTTTACTGAACTTATCAATAAAATAAGGCACCTATTTATTATGACTGCTAGTTTTCAGTGACTAGATGATAATTGTCTAAACCGGTTGCTAGGTAAATGTGGTTCCTTATAATGACCTGCTAGATTACCTGATATGACACCTTTAGATTTTTTGTGGGGTTTCGAGAAACTTAAAGTATAAGTTACATAATCACAATCTATTCCAGAGCTCATGGTTAGAATAGGAGATGCTGCCAACGAAAATTATTCAAAAGTTGAGAGGAGAGGGATTATAGGAGGAAGAGAATAACAGGTTTTCGAGTTTTGTTATTCCCTCTATAGTGGGGTTATCCAGTTACCCGTTTATATATAATAAATGTTGAATAAAAAGTAATAGAAAAGTAGTGTGGTGTATTTCATTGTGATCCGATCATTAGTTTTCATCATCACTCTTTCATTTCTAGGTGAAATAATCGTAGGGGCTGGTGATTCGGCAGGAGCTAATTTACTATTGAGCAGCACCTTGAAATGCATCAACATGAACATTCCAACATTGAAGGGGCTGTTTGTTGCTTATGCACCTACCCTTGTCCACTACACTCCGTCACCTGCTCGGCTGTTATGTTTGATGGATCCCATGATACCGTTTGGATTTTTGATGAGGTGTCTGAAAGGTTCGTTTTCGCTTTGGCAACAAAAGAGTTGTAAATCTCGTACCATTAACTCCAGTCGACAGGAAAATTAATATGTCGAAGAGTTTGAATATCTGGGTTTTATAAATAAATATTACCGAAGTTTTTTCCCAACACCAAACCGTTATTTTAACACCTCGACACGTGTTTCGATCACCAAGTGTTCATCTTCAAGAGGAAGATCAAACTAATCATACTTACAAAGCTATCCTTATTTATACCATAGATACATACCTGTTCTAGGTACTTGCGTCTTGGTATCTTAAATCAATTTTACAATTTGCCTTATCTACTTTTCTTAAGATAACTTGTCTTAAGACAAGTAGATAAGACTTGGCCTTGAAGATGATCACTTGGTGATCGGAACACATGTTGATGTGTTAAAATAACGGTTTGGTATTAGGAAAAAACTCCAGTAATATTCATTACTACACCGAAGGTTCCAAACAGTGCATCACAAGTATCTGGGTTTTATGTTGGATAGAGATGTCTTTTAATGCATACTACAGCTACATTATTGAGAACGTATTGAAGAAACTATATTTTTTCACAGGAATTCTAAACCATCTCTCTATAAGTACTAACATCACTGTATGTTACACTATTAGACAGTCTCACTTTGATAACTGCAGTAAGTTCTGATCAAAATGTACAAATATCTTCATTGAAGTAGAAAAACTTACAAGTGAAAGTAGATTGTTCAAAAAATAAGGTGAATGTTCAAATCGTATGCAGTGGCATACGGTGATTGTACTCTGAGTCAGAAAAATGTTCACAAGTGTTATGAGCTTTTCACAGAAGGTCAGGAAGGTCAGGAGCACATCAACAACCAATGAAAATGTTGAGAAAGTGAAGAAAATTGTTATGGAGAATTATCGAGTCACTTTTAGAGAAGTTACTAAAGATGTTGGCTTATCGGTTGTTTGCTCATGCCATGCAATTTTTTGGATAAAATGATCCTCACTTCAAAATACAAATATAAAAAAATCAGTATAAACCAGATAAATATTTCTATTAATGATGAGAATATAAAAGTGAATAATACTGTAAAATACTTAGGGTTTCAACTGAACTGCAATCTCACATTTGAAGAACATTTTCAATACATACATAAGAAAATTTTGAAAAAACTATATTTTTACTCTAGAATTTCAAAGCATATGTCTTTAAACACAAAGATATTAGTCTATAAAACAATTATACAACCACACTTTGATTATTGTACTTCGATTTTACACTCTTTCAATTTGAACAAATAGGCACAACTACAAAATAGAGGAATGAGAATTATATTGAGAGGAAACCGATATACTCCCATAATTACAATGTTAACAACCCTAAATTGGCTTTCAGTATCCCAGAGACTTTTATACCAGACAATGATATTTGTGCATAAAATTGTTAATGATTTAACAGGAACATATCTTAAAAAATCAGAATCAATTATGATATTCACAAATATTACACTAGACATAATCTTGACATACATATACATAGAACTAATACCAAAATCAGTATGAACTCAGTATATGTCAAAGGTTTTGATACATACAACAAATTGCCTCATTCAATTGAATCAGCCTCAACTTTGAAAAGGTTTAAAACTGATCGACTGCATCATATTTATAACAAATGTAACTGAAGGTATTACTAATAAGATCATAAGTCATAAGTTTTGGAATATTAATCAATTATTTGATAGTTATAATTTTGTTGTTGTATATTAGGAATGTATCCTACTTACCAAGTAAATGTTATTATTATTATTATTATAAAAACAACATCGTAGTCATGCCTCAGCCACCGTATTCACCAGATTTGCCCACTGTGACTTTTCCCTTTTCCCTAGATCAGAGAGACCCATGAAAGGATAACCCTCAAAAGTCGTAAATTATGCGAGCTACAGATTAACGAGGTCTTACCTTTAAACGTGAAAATCGATCGTCTGGCCTGCTCGAACCACTGTTTCACGAAGCGGTAGATTGAATGTCTATAAACATTCTACACATAACTACAATACCAGACAAAATGACAATTTTTACCTGTTGAAATGAAGATTTTGTTAAAGAGGCTCAAACCAGTACAATAAATAAACTTTTCTCAAATATAAAAGACAAAAGTCTGTATCAATTTGAAAATGAGTTGACTGGTTATATCTAAGATATGCCATATTTTTAGTACAGTAGAATCCGGATAAAACGACCTTCAAGGGACCGGGTATACTATGTCGTACTAACCGGACGACGCACAAAACGGATTAATTTTTTAGTAGTAAAGTGTACATCACTTTGTTGAACTGACATAGACTTGCCAGCAATCTTACCACAGACGATGTTGTGTCTCACTTTGAAACGGTTTATCCAACTAATGGAATATGTGAAATTTAGCATGTCTAACTTTAGCAAAAAATTTGCTTTCTCTTGTAGCAAAGGTCCATTAAGGGGTATTCTCCGGTCGCGCTGCAACTTGAACCACTGTAACAATGCCTTATCCAACTGTTCATGAGTAGAAGTCCTTACACGTTTGCATTTCAAAACATTGGCATTGAAAAGTGACTCGATCTTATCTTTATTCTTTTTAATTTTGGATATTGTAGAATGGGATACGCCAAACTTCTAATTGGTGTAATATTGCAATTTTTTCTTCAATTGCAAAACACGTTCGCTTCACAGAATTCATTTTGTCGAACTTCATACTAGAACCTCTGGCGTATCTATTAATATCTGTTAGTAGTACCTATCAATAGAGGTACCTAAGAAGAGGGAGTTCGCCGAGGTATTGGTGCGCAGATTGTGTAAACAAAACATTGCGCAACGTTTTAGCCGGATGTATCATCATAAAAAAACGGTCGCTATAAGCGGTTGGTCGCTTAAACCGGAGTCGCACTAAACGGTATATTTTCTCAATAACTAAATATTAAACTAAATTTGAGTAAACATTATCGTCGCTATAAACGGATAGTCGTTATAAGCGGAGTCGTTATATATGAATTCTACTGTATTTGTTTTAAGAACGAATGATAATGCACTAGTCTTAAGTCAAATGTCACATGTTTTAAGTCTTAAGAATTCATGTTTTTTTATTTGTTACTACTGAAAACTTACAATTCGGGCACATAGACATTATGAGTAAATATGTATAAAATAATATTTGTGCTGGTGCTTAAAAGTCATTAGCTTACATTTCTTAAGACTTGCAAGTTTTTGATAATAATAAATTTTATTTTTTCAAGAAACTATAACAGTCTATCTTAGGGAAACAAAAAGTAATAATAACGAAAAAAATTGTCTGTAAATAGTAAAATCAGAAATAAGAAATGCTGATAAAAAAAAGAATTATTTTCACATCAAATCCAGAAGATATGTTTTCAAATATTTTCTGAACAAGCACTAATTTATATTTTTTTCAAATTTTGAGGAAGTGAATTATATATATTGATTCCATTATAAAGAATACATTTTGTCCGTGACTGGTTTTTAGACTGAAGGACCTCTAAAAACTGCTGACAAGTGTTATTTCCAGGAACATCATTGACCTCACTAAATATTTCATTTCTTACGAAATGGATAATTTGTAAATAGTTTCAATGTCCAACAATTCAATAGGTTTATATGTATTCCGACTTGGCTGCAGATAATCTAATTCAAATATATGTTTCATTGCTTCATTTCATAATTTTTGTATTAGCTCAATAGTTGAAATTTTAGGTGAACCCCAAAAAGTTACCAAATAATAAAACTTTGAATTGGTCAGGCAGTGTTATATACCCGTTGAATGGTTACATGGTATATATATATATCTTATTCGAAATAATATACCAATTATAGAAGAGAGCTTGAGTTTTACATTTTTAATATGATTTTTCCATGATCATTTTTCGATACATGATCTTTCGACTCATGACTGGGTGTATGATTTCACTCTAAATCACGTCTGTAAATCTATGTTTGTGTATTAGGAATTCCTATTATTAAATAATTCATTCATTATTTACACTATCGATTATTTCAGCCTATGCATGCCCTGACGAAAATCTGAAAAAGAAACGGGTTCGTTCCGACAGTAACTCTGACACCGAGAGCTTTGAGGAAATCTCCGAATCGGATCTGATGGAGTTACAAGCACATAAATCTCCTGTTTCCGATACTTCAGACACATTGACGTATGGTTCTCTGATGTCAAATGATGGAGCAGAAGAAAATACCAAAGCGGTGAATCTAAACGATTCCGACATAGAGGAAGGTCAGAAATATATGTCAGACCTGCTGGAGAAATATGTCTTAGGTTGGTATGTGTCACTGAATGGGTGATTTTTTATATTTATTCATTTATTTATCGACTGTAAATTGTAATTTACATTTTTGTATCATGACAAACTAAAACTATATTTCTATACATGTTAAATGAACTCTTACTAGTGGTATGGCTGTGTTATGCTCCAGACCATTCAAATTTTAACATATTTTTTTGCAAAATTGTTCCACGTTTCTATTTCTGAGTGATGTCTATTTGTAATTTATCGTAAGTTATCATGAAAGGTAAAATTAGTGTGACAGATTGATGTGTGAAATATGTGTACATTTCTAGTTCATCTCGCAGAAATACTCAACCTGAATGCTCATAAATTGTCATCAAAAATTGTGAAGAACGCAGAGGTCAAATATGAGTGTTCGTTTTTTGAGTGATTTGAAGATTTAATTGAGACATTTCAATATAATGATAAGTGCCAAAAGCCTTTTTCAAATGGTTACACCTGATGAATTTATTCTGAACCATTTCAATGTTTTCAATCTGATAAAGTTATCAAAGTTTGACTATGCTAATGGAAATTTCCAATGAGAAGCAGATTACAAAATCCAGCATTTTTTTGTACCAAATATAAAACCTACATTACGTATTTCATCCACTTTCTGGGTTGATGTATCATTTCTAGGCACCAAAATATTGAAGATGCAAACCAAATTCTGAAAGTATCATATCATAAACCAACCATATACCATAACCATAAACCAACCATATAAACCATATCATAAACCAACCCTTTCTGAGAGATTTTTAAATCATTATTCAAAACACAACCTTCACAGTAAAATCATTATATGAAATTAAAAATCAATAGCAATTGCCATCCCAATCCTGAGTTTCATGAAAAAATCTTCAATTAATCGAGAATTACCTAGTAAAAAATAATTTTCCAAGAGTCATCCGAAAAATAATTGAATAAAGGAGTTCCTATTTCCAAAATATAAGAGTCAACGCCAAATACCGTATGTAAATTCTTGAGCGAAATGATATACATTCTCAAACACGATAGTGTTAACACTAGAAGGGATGTCGATGGCCTTGAAGCCTCATATTTCAATTCAATCCGTAAAATACCTAATGAATTACCCCTTTTTTTATTCTAATTTTTTCTGTTATTGATAAAAACAGACACCATAGGTAAAACCTGTTGTTTGTTTCATGTCTTTGCGTAGTGTTGTTGTCTCTGAAATTTTATTATTCTAATATTTTTATTTTGTATGTAATATGTATGTTTATTTTAAAATAGTCATATTTCCAACATAAAGAAACTGCTTTTAGGTGAGTAATTCATTTAAGAATTCATTGAAATGAGAAAAGTTATAGTTTTGTGGAGGTATGTTTAAGAAAATTCATTGTTACAGAGCCCTCAAGAATAATTCATATAAATTCCTAACTAAAAATCTATTGGATCACTAAACCAGTTGATTGATAATAAGTATGGTTGATGTGTTCTGAAAAAATTATTCTGATTACATTTTTACACTATAGTTATACAGTATGACTCATTGATGATGAGGTCAACTTGGTTTGTGACATCTCAATGTATGTAACACAGAATTTCAATTTCATGTCTGATATGAACGAAACTGACATTGCCTGAGGTATAAACCACGCTTCAAACGGTTAAGCTTTCCCCTGATGGAGTTTAGTTCACGAGATGAAGCTCCTAATATTTATTGTAGTTGAAAAGGCTGCAGATGACGGTTTAATAATAGACGAGAAGGGTCGATGAAATCATTCGAAAACTTGTCTCTATGTGATCACTTGACTGATGTTAGCAGTCTTGTTGCTGAAATACCAAGAAGTATCTGCAAAATGTCCTTTGTGAGGAAAGTTGAAATATTTTCTTGTCATATATATGCATATGTCTCCTCAACACAACACAATCGTCAGACTGATTTGAATTATTTGAGAAACAGAAACAACTCAAATTTTGATGTTTCCTTTCAAACTCTTGTTTTTTTTTGTACTATTTGAAATCAAACATCAGTTTTTCATATAAATGAAACGGAATATATAGCGAAGAGGGGGGGGGGGGAAATTGCAAGAGCAAATCTCTCTCCTTGAAGTGGAGTGTGAGCAAATGGCTGCAGCTCAACCAGAGAGATCTGCTCAGATGAAAAAAACTTGCACCTAAAGTTCGGGAATTGGAAAATTTCAGCAAGGAGATACAGGAGAAAATTCCCTGTTACATCTCTTGTAATATTTTTTGAATAGTCCATTGTATTCAACTACATGTCATTGTATTCTATTTTATATCATGCATTATATTTGTAGTATTTAATCGGATATCTTGGATCTCGTATTATTTTATCATAGCATCATTATATCTGTTTTATTTTTTTACATCTTAATATACACACATGATTTTCCTCTACATTGCATTGTATTTTTCGTGTATCATCCTATTTTCTATATTATTATATTATTCTTATATCTGTACCAACTCGTTTTTGGTAGTGATTCAAGGTTTTATCTGGACATTAATTTTTTTTCCAGACTCAGATACGGAAACTGATGGTACTAAAATATCTCTTGTAACTCAAGAAACTGCATCATCTTCAAATACAGCTGATAACTCAATCCAGAAAAAGGTTACATCATTTTTGTATAATCTGAAAGGGCAGTTCACCGAATATTTAGGTAATAAACAAATATTTAATTGAGCATATTCCTCTCTCTATTAATGTATGGCCATTGCTTTCTTCTCAGGCGCATTCGACCTCAAATGGACATATGATATTTAACAATATGATGGTTTTCCCTTCATTTTCACCTTTAATAGAGGAATGCCATATGGAATTTTATGAAAAATTACTGCCGCTCAAATTTCTGTTGGTTTAGATAAGGCATAACATAATATACTCCACTCGTATATGCAGGCTATATGCAAATCGTCTTTTCTGATCATTTCACTTATATATAAGCTTTATGGAAATTTGGAGCACATACTTTTTTCTCAGTTGGCTACTCTGTTTATTTGTCATTATTGTCAGTTGTCATGGTAATTGTTCCTCCATTAATCGAAAGTGAATTCAATGAAACACAGAAAAAAATGTGCTCTGAATGAAATCCTTATTTGACGTAGTCTATGAAGTATGGGTATCAAGTTTCAATAATTATGAATGAAATAATGAATACTGTCTGATGAAAACAAAATTGTCATTTCTTATGAAATCAAATGGTGCCAACGTTGAAAAACTTGTTTCAATATAATCAATATAATATAAAAGCGGAATGCTAAGAAAAAACTATTTTTACATATTGATTAAGCTCTATCCGAATTGTTATAATTTGAGACGCAGAAATATTTCATGTAATTTCCAAGTTAGCAATTCATTGAATGAATATATTTTAGGAAGCAGAACTATGTCACCAGCTGAAAAGTTACTAGATTTGGATATCGACCCTCAAACTAACTTGATCAATAAATTCGCTTTTAATGTACCGAAGGATCCGTATTTAAGTCCCCTTTATGCTGAAGATGATGATCTACGGTTGCTCCCCCCAACGCATATTTTGGTAAAGTTTCATCTTCATTTTGAATGTCTTTTATACGTTTTGAAATAATTATATTTTTAGAGTACTCATTTTGATCCCTGTTTGGATGATTGCGTAATGTTCTCAAAGAGGCTGAAAAATCTCGGGAATAATGTAAAATTAGACGTGCTAGAATCTTTACCGCATGGATTTCTCAACTTTTCTTTGGTGAGTAAAGCATATAATTGAAACATACAAGCAGCTTCAAATACATTTACTGTGATACTTGAAACAATGAATGGATATCTACATTTTCACTCCCTTCAACTGATACTAAAATCGTATTTTGAGCATCCAACAAGGTAAAAAAAGCTAACTACTACAAACGGAAGATTGATGATTGTTCGCATGATCCAAAGAAAATATGGAAATCTTTGAAAACACTTATTAAACCCAATAATAGTCCCCTTCCTGATGTAATTGTATTTGACACACAGAGAGTGATGTTAGACCAAGATAAAGCTGAAAGCTTTAATAATTTTTTTATTGAAAGTATTCTTGATATTAAAGCAACAATTCCGGCTTCTGTACAATGGTCATGTGAAAATCTTGAAGTGATTGGATGCAAATTGTCCGATTTCATGTTTGGATAACAAGTGTAACACTGATATAATGAATAACAAGGTTCTCAAGAGTATCTTCTTGGTACTGTCACATACTTCTTGATTTTGTCAATACTTCTTTGATAAATGGGCACTTTCCAGATCAACTCAAAATTAGTACAGTTGTTTCTGTGCCTAAAGTTTACAACGCAAACGAAGCCTTTAACTTTTGTCCCATAAACACTCTGCCTCCTTTAGAAAAAATATTAGAGTTAGCTGCTTATAAGCAGATATGCACATATATCGAAGACAAAAACCTTTTGATGGAGTATCAATCAGGTTTTAGATCGCAACACTCATGTGAAACTGCTCTTCAACTCACCTTGTCTAAATGGAAACTGTCATTTGATGACAATAAATATGTAGTAGCAGTATTTTTATATTTCAAAAGAGTGTTCGAAACTATAGATATATCTATTTTGCTATCAGAATTAGAGTACTATGGAATAACTGGTAGGGTGTTGCTATGGTTCAGAAGTTATTTACTCAACAGATCTCAATGTACTGAAATAAACAACGTTTTATCAAGCCAAAAAGCAATTGATACCGGGGTCCCCCAATGGAGTGTACTTGGCCTTGTTTCCTATCTCTACTCTACAAAAATTACAAAACAGAGGAATGCGCTTGTTATTAAAATACCATAAATATAGTCCTATATAATCAATGATTAATATTCTGAATTGGATGACAGTAAAAGATTGATTACAATAGTTTTCTATTATATTCATATTCGAAATACTCACTGGAAAAGCACCACATTACTTCAATGAGTATATTACATATAACCATCAGATACACAAATACAATACAAGAGGAAGAGATGATTTGGTTGTCCTACGAACTAACCTTGCAAGAACAATGAATTCTATTTTTCACAGAGGACTCTTGGACTATAACAAGCTTCCCAATGAAATTAAACAAAGTAACACCCTTCAACTCTTCAAATGCTCCTTATCTCAATTACTACGAGACAATACTATTCCAATTGAGTTGTTCATCATTCTTCTCTCTATTAATCTCTTCATCATCTACTACTGCTATGTTTTACCCAATATATTCCATTATATAGGGTCTTATATATTTCAGTTTTTTTGTAATAATAATAACTGATATATTTGTATAATATTTATGTATATTAGGATATCCATTTCAAATAAATCTATTTCTATTTATTATAAGTACAAAAATCGATGAACAAAAATGCTTGCGAAGAAGTACCTTAGGTTTCACTACCACTACCATTTTACGGATTGATAAATGTCTTCCTTCAATATATTATGGACTGTCAAAAAATGAAAAGTTGATAACAAATAATTCACTTCTGATAGTCATCATACTTTTCGGTTTTCAGTTCTCAAGAGAGGCCTATGAGGGATCCAAAGTTTGTATCCAACGTATACAAGAATTGTTGAGGGAAGAACAATAATGATGATAACTTTTACGGAAATACTCATCGATATTATTTTTGAAAAATTCAATAAACGTTTTTGTGAATAAGTATTATGAAAATTCTATTGTAAGGTGAATTGTATATTGGCCTATTAAGGAATTTTTCTAGACTAGAGAATGAAACAATTATTTTTATACAGTACTTACATTATAGTGATGATTTGTTGGTTAATGTGCTAAGCGTAATTTTTGTAACGAAGTTCGAACATGGTATTTGTATTGGTTGTGAAATAGTGAATTTGTATGGTTGTTGTGCAATTGGATGTTTCTTAAATTGAATTGTTTCATTCTGCTTCGGATTCATCCTCAACTTGAAAATATTTTTAGAAATAATGCGTTCTCAGAAAATTGTACGGTAAAATTCCACCTACCAACTTAAAAATAATTGTGAGCACTTACATATTTTGACGTATAGAATACGAAACAGAAAGAAAAAATCAGTGCTGCCCCTTATTTCCAAAGTTCCGAAAATTTTCTGAGTTTTGGTCGGATATAGATTTAAAAAAAAAGATCGTCTTGAATTGTTTTACAAATCCTGAAATTTTAGTAACGTTATCAGCAGAGGAGCCAAAACAGCATTCAAAACCTTTTTTTTTTTTTTTTCGTTATATTCGAATATATTTTCAGTGTTTCAACAATGTTTCTGGTCTTTAAAATGTAAAACTTTTCAACACATTATTTGCAACAATTTTATTTACCAACCCCCATAGGTTGAATCACGCTATAAAGATGGTATGTAAGTACCCTGGATTACATTTATTCTAACAATCGAAACTTTACTTGGTTTAAAATATCTTGTCATTATTCAAATTTGAATTTCATTGATAGTTTCACTTTAATGACATTAGTTTCTTTAGTCTTAGTGTGATTGTATGTAATTTCTTATTTCCAAGCAGAACACAAAATGATAATAATTAATTTTTACATGTTGACCATGATTTCATTCATTTATTTATTTATTAACGGGTTATAATAATAATATTAGTCATCAATCAAAGATTAGACAAAGCATCCTACATACACACGGTATAAAACTTATCAGACTAGTCAAAAAAACAAAATAAGTGAAAGGCATTATACAACATATAAGTAAACACGCAGAAAACGATATAAAACTAGTCAATGTTTGAAAAAATCTGTGCTTCTCTTATTTTCAAAGTTACAGCCTTCCAAAGTTTTAGCTTTGGTATAAAATAGCTTCTAAAGAAGCTATTTTATACCAACTGTTTAGTGAAAATCTCATAACAAAGTGTTTCTTGAATGCGTTTTGGATTTTCATGTTTCGGTCGATTCCGTCACATATACAAACTATAGAATCACAAATATTTATTCACCAATCACTTTCACATCTTATTTCACTTTCTTTGGCACTTTTCAGTGTAATAATTATCATTTTTCCTATAAAAAACTTTATTTAACACTGGGTTCGTTTTCTGGTGGCATCTCCAACATTGTAAGGTTATATATAGGGTCTTTCAGTAAGCGTTTCCTATCTTTAAATTTGAATAGAACAAGGTGTGTGTGTGGCCAACGTCTTTCTCAAAGAAATATGTACCGTTGACGCCGCCAGCCCAAAATCCACACCAAACAGTGACTTTCGAGATGCATTGGACGCTCTTGGATCTCATGTGGATTGTTATCGTCCCAAATTCGTCAATTTTGTTTGTTCACGTACTCATTCATCGTGTTGTTGAATGTCGGCGGTTCGACGTGGGTGCTTTGTTCACTCACTCGAATTGACTGTCGTGTTGGTCGGTGGTTCAAGCCCTAGTCTGAACGATCGATTTTCACTTACTATCGTCCAACCCGTGTTGGACCCTATACTAGTGACATTTTGGGAAAAAGCAGCTCCCTTAATGAAGTATAGTAAAAATGTTGATTATCAAGCTGTGTCAAAGAAGTAGGAATGAGATTTATGAGTGATCTGAATAAAAATGTATTTTTCAATAGTTTGTTTTGTGTGAAAAGGCTGGATAGTTGCAATTTTCGTAACTTTGGCTGTTACTTTGGAAAGAAGAGGGAACACCGATTTTTTCTTTCACATACGTAATATACACGTCAAAATACATAAGTTCATATACTTTTTTTTAATTGGCGGGTGCAGCTTATCCAAAATTTCACTACGAATGTCAATCGAAATTAGTTTTAATCAGTGTACAGGGTGTTCGAAATATAAATGCATGTACTTCTGCAAGTAACTTAATCGAATAGGTGGATTTATGCAATACATATTTCACAGTTATAGGTAAAAATTATGCATATTCAGACTATAAATGTTATTCCCGATTCATTATAATACTCAGAACATATGATATTTGGATCCAATGATTTTACTTCTGCAATGGAAGGATTGATCTATAGGATGATGACAGTGTCAAAGTGATTGAAAAATAACCTAACTGATGAAATCATTAAAAAAAAAATTATTGAAAGTCGCCGATAATTCTCGACTGACGTGATAATACAATGCTAATATTGAACGAAAGTCAGTTTTTTTCCCAATCTGAAAACCATGAAAATTGTAATGGAGAACTTAATACACGTGTAGAAAGAGCAAACTTTTTAGTTTACCCTGATAAGTTGCTGTGTGAATTTAAAGTATTTTTCACGAAGAAAAATATTCTATTCATCAGTAGCTTGTCGTATTTAATGAATCAGCGTATATTATCATATCTGAAGAGTGTATTTTGAACAGCTCCTTATAAATGGTCCGAACTTAGCTACCCGTCTTGAAGAAAAATTTGTATAGTGGCGAAATAGCAACAAACTGATATCGGAGAACATCTTGTACTACATGGAATGCTTCTGGAGTCAATCAACAACATTGACATAATTCCACATTTCAAAACTCTTTTGGCATCTATTGAAGAAGTTGAGAAATGAAAGAATAAACAGAGGAAAAACTGCGTATGAACTTAAATTTTGCCCATTTCCAAAGACAGGCATATTTTAGCCTCAGAAACGTTTAGATAAGTATTGTATAATTTCTTAGCTTTTTTGATAGGAAATTATCAAATAAGACAAATAGAACATTTATCTTTGTGAAAAATACTTTGAATTTATGCAGTAAATCATCGGGGTAAACTGAAAAGTTTTCTTTTCTACACGTGTATACATTTCTCCATTACAATTTTCATATTTTCCAGATTGTGGCAGGTGAAAATGTTCAAAGAAGTTCGATAAATAATGCTAATATTATGAACCCCTCCCCAAATAAACTAGAAAACAAACTGGATGTTCACAAAATTTTGATTAAAATCAATTCCAGAATCATTCCCAACTAATTTCAAGGTGAAATAAACCATCAAAACATTGCATTATTGTTTTATACTACTTTATTTTTTCTGACGTTGACTTGAAAGTTTTTCATATTTTTAGGTTTTTTAATATTTAACTTGTCTCATTTTTTCAACAAATAATCCAAAGAAAAGCTACTATCAGCTGTCCTTACACTAATGATATTTTGTTGTATAGTTAGTATGTCTAAAGACGCACATGCAATTGACATCGCTTTTATTTATAGTCTGCCATTGGAACTTCATCTCTTGCTAGATGTGCTTCTTCTTTCCGCTTCTGCTTTACTTTCCCAATCCATGTTGGCTTCTGGATATCAGCTGTTTAAATGACTCTCGGAATTTCTAGTAATTTTTGGAACACATTTTTAGTTATCACTATCAATTCTTAGATTGGGTTCAAAACGACCATACAAGCAAATCGTGATATACTTTGAAAATAACATTTCTGTTTTCGAATCTCAAATAGAATGGAGTCGAAGTTGCTTCAAGTTTCCAGATGATTTTTTTGTGATGATGAAAGTACAGTTAATATTCTTAGAATTCGCATAAATCCACCTCAAATATTATTATATTGTGAAATTATTTCTTAAACATTTCAAGTCAACCAAAGTGATTCCATTAATTAACAGATATATAATGATAGAGGTTGTGTCATCAATTACATGGTTTGGCTATACAGAAGTGAAACTTCTTTTGTGTATAAAGATCTGGTTTCTCCAAAACAAGCACTGTTTTCAATCACCAGAACTGCAGCACTTTTCCATTACAACTCCTGAAGATGAAACACGAATCGAGAAGAGTGTTGCAGTTCTGTTTATTCTTCCCAGTTCTATGTTTCAGTCTGGTTTCTGATTATTTATTGTTATTCTAAATACAGACGTTTTTCCACAATCTAAAGTTCTAGCAATAGAAACAAAAACCTATAAAACCTTGTAACCTACCAATAAAATCATTCTTGTTCGTAACATTAATTGGTAAAGCGTTTCATTATCGTTTCTGAGACTTTTCTAAAGAAATTACTTCTCAAGCTTTATTTGTGTTCAAGAGAGGTTTCATTTTGAAGAAAAATATCAGTACAGATTAAATTTCGCATACTGAGTGAGAATATCAAATATTATTTCAAAATTCATATTTAAATTTTTTCGGGAATATTAGCTGTAAGTTTTATACAGTATATTATCAACTATTGGTGATTTTCCAGTAAATATACATAGCAAATTTGTAAAACCTTAATTTTAATAACAGATATTTATATTTATGTTTTTATTTATTTTATTTATTTTCTTGTTCACATTTAAAAGATACTCAACTATAACTAAAAGAGTTGGCATTGTATTCATGTTTACGTAGAACTTAAAACTATTTTTTACTAATCGTTCACTATTAGTCTGTTGATCTGAAGTATAACCCCTAGTCAATATTTTATACTTAATTCACCCTCTTAGCTTATACTGACATTTCTGTAGACATGAAAGTTGTAAAATGGCTGCAACTTCATTTCAGGTTTTGAAAATAAATTATTTCAAATGTACCCTCTCATAAATAATTCTTTCTTAAACTCTGCCTAATTATTTTGTTGGTATCGCTGAGAGAGTGGAATTACGATAAATCAACAACGAGAAACTTACATTCATTTTCCTAATTGGAGACATAATAAAGTTCAAAATCAAATTGTGTTTTATTAGATGGTAACCTATCAAATTAATATTATCAAATCGGTGCTGACGTAAGAGTGAGAGAAAAGTGATTCCAATAATTTTTGTGAAAAATTAGAAAACTGAAATTTAATAGCCATGCCGAACATTCATGTGAACAGCTATGAGCGGGATGCCTTACAGTGAGGTTCCGTTTTGGGACCGGTGTTGTTTCTCATGTATGTCAATGATTTAGTCCATGTTGACATAAGTGGTGAATTCACATGTTTGGCTGATGACACCACTATCAAATCATCGTCAACACAAAAAGGGTGAAAGAGTATTGTGATTCCAATCTTTTATCATTCAACATCGACAAAACAAATGTGGTCACGTTTAGATGTAACATAGGGGAAGTACACTTGGAAAATGTAATTGTAGAAAAACAAATTTTTAGGGCTCTTCATTGATGAAAATCTAAAATTTGATTCCCATGTCGACTACTTATGTAAAAGACTAGCAGCAGAATGTCATGCAGTTAGAGTTGTTGCAAGAGAGTTAGACACTACTATCACAAGATCAGTTTATTTTGCAGAAATTGAGTCCTATTTTCACTATGGAATTTGTTTCTGGAGAAATTGTGCACAATTTCGTTTTAATATGGTATTCTCTCTACAAAAAAGATCCATCAGATATTTACGCAAGGCTAGATACAGTGGTTCATGCCGCCCATTATTTGTGAAGCATAAAATTCTGACCTTAGTATGTCTTTTTATTTTGGAAACAGTGTGTCATATCCACAAAAAATATAAAAATCAATTTAATACCACCTCAACTTACAGTAAAACAACAATAAAAATTAATTGGCGCTCCGGGGCGACTTCATTGATTCCAGTGGAGCATTTGCTTTTTCAGCTGCAAGAAAACCCGTAAAAACCTGCAGCATCACATCATCTGAAGATCTTGATCAGTCTTACTTCATTTACCTTCCAACACCTACTCTAGCTCTTACACGAAATTCTATTTTTTTTCTCAATAGCAAGAAGTTATTTAATCATCTTCCCATTCATTTAAGGCGAATATATAATGAAAACAAATTCAGAAAGAAAGTAAAAGAATTCCTTATTGGGAGGCCCTATTATACTGTGGATGAATTCTTTCGAAGCTCTATCGAGTAATTGTCACGTAACTTTGTGTAAACAAGTTATTGAAATCAACAAGAAATGGCTGTCAATGTTCATTACGTAGCATTATATATTTACATTTACTCAATATTCATGTACTTATATTTGTATCTGTTCAGCTGGGCTTAATATTGTTCTGTCCATATATCCTGCTCTTGTCTCATTATTTTGTAGTTTAAATTTGTTAATTGTCCTATATACACGTTTTACTTTACTAGACTTTGCCAGTAATATGTTCAGATCTTGGGTAATGAAGCATATTTTGATTTGATTGAATTGTTGCAAGAGAGTTAGATACTGTGATTACAAGATCTATTTACTTTGCACAAATAAAGTCCCATTTACATTATGGAATTTGCTTTAGGGAAAACTGTGCAATTTCTTTCCAATACGGTAGTCTCCTTACAAAAAATGTTCTTCAGATATTTGCATTTGGTTGTTTCAATGCCATGCGTTTTTGTAGCTCCATATATCATTAAATATTTATTCTACTGATAGATAAAGAATTTGGTGGAATTTTATGCCTTGACAGCTTATTATTATATGTTGTCGTTAATTGCGTAAGCAGCAGCCGGCACTGGTCCACAGAAGAGACTGATCCTGCTCCACGACAACAGCCGTCAGCACGGATCACCAATCACCATCCAAAATTTATAAAAATTTAGCGTCGAAGTTCCGAGTATTTTTTCAAGTACTTCGATAACTTTTTAATATTTTTTTCCATATTAAACAACTTTCACTGCAATTGAGCACAAAAATCAACACATAGAAGATACATCTGGTCCAATACACATTAAATTTATGCTATACAATTTTTCATAATAAAAAGTAAAGTAGGAATCTCTGTAGTAAATAAATCCAAAACAAGTAGGTACATCTTCTTTTTTTCATCCCCTTAAGACGCCAAGTTGGTAAGTGAAACGAGCGTCGAGAAAAGTATTGCATTTCTGGTGATTGGGATAAGTGCTTGTTTCGAACAAATTTTCATATTTGTCTAAGAAATTCTTTTCTGAAATGAAAGTCCTGATGATGTATTCAAAAGATGATTGGATTTTTTATTTATTTACAAAAGATGATAAAATTAAATCAACAAAAATGGTATAAATACAATACAATAACAGATGAATTGTGCTAATCGTACTGATTTCATTCGATGATACCATTAGTTTGGCCCTTTCGTCGGAGAGTCTTTTGCAGAACATGAGCATCAGCCGGTTCTATTCTCTTGTAATAGTGCTCCTTTGTTTCTACAATTTCAAAGCCAAATTTTTTATAAAAGTCAATTGCTCCCTCGTTATTTACCTGAACGTGTCTGAAAAAAATAAAAATTAATCATTGACCAGTACACTTGAGACTAACAATTTAAGATGTACTTATAGAAATATATTGTGTATTGATCACACAAGCAACGTTTTACAAAAAATATTCCTTAAGCGTGATATGGTCAAATTAGATCTATAACTTAACTAAAATAGAGTATTCAACATACGTAATAAACTATAAAGAGTTGAAGAATTTAAATAAGATAAACAATATAAAAGACATAGTGGCATGTATGATGTAAGTGAATGAAAAGTACAACGTATAGTGAAATGTAGAGATGAATTAGTTTTGATTAATGCTCATGTATGATAAATCACATATTTTTTCTACGTTCAGAATAAATTTTTTATATTGAAACATCACTCAAATTATAATTTTTTTTCAAATCTCTCACCGACTTCATTTTGAGGACTTGCTCTGTGTCTGAATTATAGACGATTGGAGGATTGTCTGCAAACCGGAAAATGGTTCAATCCATTATCTAAATGAACAGAATAAGACCCCAGACCTTGCAATGAGGAATATCATATTTTGAAACCATTTTTTCCATCAATTTTTTATAATCACTTGTGTAGAAATTGACAAATTGTTTTGCTTTACCTCGTATTCTAGTTTCGTAAGGTGTTTTTTATTGGAAAGAGTGTTGAATGCTTTAGAAGGGTTGTCAAAGAAATAATGCAGGTTTTTTATGAAGCGAACGATTTGTAAATTTCCGATGTAAAAGTGAATATACCTTTCCTCTTTGAGTATATTATTGTACTGGGAGGGTACTGAACTTTTACAAATTAGATTTTGGTAATTTTTGTGAAATTAAAAAGGATTAATATTGATCTGTAACTGGCAATCTCCAACCTATCACCACTTTTGTATAATTTTTTAGCCTCACAAGGATGCATCTATTAAATGAAAGTATTATTGACTTACAAAAATATGGTATCGAAGTTACCATCTTGTTCTACATAACTAAGGACATGCTGCACCATAAGGGTACCAATTCCAAGTCTCCGATAAGGGTACAAGCATCCAAGAGTCATGATGTACAACCTCTTCGATTTTTCTGAAGTATCTATTCTACAACAAACGGCTCCAACTACAATATCATTGTAATATGCTAATTTTGCCAACTCTCCGGCCTCCAAGACATCTTTGTAAAATTTATCATTGTAAGATACGGGAAAAACCACACTGTTGAGGCGTTTTAACTGTTTAATATTATGAGGAGTAACGTTCCCAAGCTCAATGTTCTCCCTTAAACGAAAAATATAGCAAATTGATAAATATTTCATGCTATTCTAGAAAATAGTTGTTACTCACCTAGTCATTATTGTAATTTAAAATGTATTTTTAAAGGAATAACCAAACAAAATTTGGATGCTTCAAAATAAATTCACGAAACAACAAATATAAATTAAACTTCCAAAACCTGTCAAAAATCAACGGTTGGTTGACAGAAAACACGGCACCTGGGTTTCAATTTGCGCTAGCAGCAGCAGCCATAGTTCTTAGGAACCTGCACTCCTTTTATCTTGCCAACTTTAAGATTGAAAATATGTTTTATCTTCAGTATTTTGTAAAGTGAATCTGTTTTTGGAGAATTTGGTGATGTCTTACAATATATTCTGTTCAGTAATTATCATTGAGCTACATACTACATATTATATGTCGGTTTTGAAAAGAACGTGTTTTGATATATGGAGCATGTTCAGTTCATTACTAATTTATCTTCATTTTAGTACAAGTGGCAACCCTGTCCATGTCAAACACAGAACCACAGTATAATCAAAGAGTACACCAACTAACTGGTGTACTCTTTGGTAATGCTAAAAAGTATTCTACTTGTGACAGAACACAGAACGGTTGGTGTTCATAATCACGAATCGTATGTCTAAATGTACGGTAATGTTAACCACGGTATAGATGTAAATAAACTTGATTTTCTGATTTTTCGTAAATCGGAAGCAATATGTCTATGAAAGCGATAAGCAGCTAAAAGTATTATTTGAGATCCATATTTATAATTTAATGAATTCCCCTTCTCATGAACTAAGATAGAGAGTTATATATACTGGATTTGAAAATATATACAAAGGAATGAACATAATTTTTGTTGAAATATACAGTAGGTAGGTAGACCTTTGTGCATTATTTTATTCTATTTCAACTGTATTTTTCATAGCACTTCGCATTTAAGGCCTACCCTTGGTTGAAAAGAGTAAATTTGTTTGAAGAAACTCGGAAAATGAAGGGTGGGTGAAAAGAACTATTATTCTTAGAAAAGGGTGATTCGTACACCCAGTCTTAAGTCGTAAAATCGTAAGTAGTTGCGCATTAATTCCAGATGGAAACATTCATGCACAATCTTGGATATTATCTTTGTACACTCACTCCTAACATCAACTTAACTCTAAGAGCAAAGTAATTTTTTTGTAGTTACGTCTCAAAACTTGTGACATAAGACTTGAGACTGATGGTACATGAATCCATCCTAAACCTCAAAACATTTGTTATTGACAACATTCATATAAATCAGAATGGTTTGAGAACTTCTTAAAATAGCTTTCTAATTGAATACATTTACTTACATCTTTCCAGAATTCCTTAATTCTTTAGAACAAGTATGGATCAAAATTTAGAAATGCATACAAATATCAACGAAATCAAAATAAAACATGAAGATTCAGAATGGGATAAAATGGCTGAAGGAAGAAATTTTTCGATAAGTGGAAAGGACTTGTATAAGGATTTCAAAGTTGAAATAATCAAACAAGAAATCGAGAATAGTGAAATTGAACCTTTGGATGTTTTCACTTGTGAGTTTTCCGTCCACAACAAAGTTGAGAGGAACAGCAAAGAAGGACTACTGGAGATGAAAAGTAAGGTGGAAAAACTATGTTTCATTCATTATCATAATCTTTTATTTCACTTGGCCTGTTAGTATATTATTTATATTGTTACTATTGATTATAATTTAACATCGAACTTATAATCAACATTTAGCTATCTTACAAGCTTGTTAAGTAAATAACTAACTAAATGAATACTTACATATGTTGTCAAGTTTAGTTGCACTCATAGAAATATCATCAACACTACAATGTTAATGCATATGCCAAAATAATTGATTCAATAATACTTCTATCTGTGCAAACTCGTAGGTAGGATATTGCTTCTAGAGCAGTCGTGTCAAAGATACCCCCTGCGGGTTGCATCCGTGCCCCAGGTTGTATCACTATGGCCCGTGATCGCAATGTGTCAGAAACAAGTCGTGCCTAGACAAGCGAGAAAATGTTAGTTAGGTACTTATTTAGTTACCCTCTTTTATAACTTTGATATGATTTTTAACAACTGTATATTTTATACTATTTAATTAAATAAATAAAATGTTATAATAATTCAGTACATTTTGTTATTTGAATCTGGCCCGCCTACACATTATAAATTTAATATACATGGCCCTCTGCAAAATTGAGTTGGACATCTCTATTCTAGAGCTACCACTAGATGAAACTTATTAATATTCTAGTATCTATTATATTTTAGTGGTTGGACTATAGATTAAAGTCCAAATTAAATTGCAATTGATGATAATGATATTCAAAATAAGTAAGTAGGCTTGATTCATTTTTACTAAAATTAATTCATCATTCTGAGCCAAACTCATTTTATTCATAAGTTTGTTTTCAGCTATGTTTTTTATATTATTTCGTTTATCTTCGTTACAGATACATCACTGGAATCAAATGTGGTTGGTGGGGCGTCTAACTCAGAAGAATCGAAAGTTCTCTTAGTCACAGAAAAAGAACCAGCTGAGTTGGATGAACTGAATAATTGTAAAATTACCAAAGTCAAAACTAGACGTACAAGAAGAGATTCTGAAGAGCGCATTTTCAGATGTAAATATTGTTCAAAGACCTATTACCACAGGAGCAGCGTAAAACTGCATGAGAGAAACCACACAGGAGAAAAACCATTTTATTGTAATATGTGTCCGAAAAGGTTCAGCCAGAAATCCGTGTTGGCTGATCATTTAATAACTCATAATGGTGAGAAAGTTTTCTCCTGCAAAATTTGTTCGAAATCTTTCAATAGACGACGTATTATGCTGGTTCACGAGAAAACTCACACCAAGGAAAAACCCCATGTCTGCGAGAATTGCGGTAAAAAATTTTCACAAAAAAGTAACTTGACAAAACATGCACTGAGTCATTCAAGTGAAAGGCGTTTCCAATGTGATATTTGCTCTAAAACTTTCACTCTGAATGGGACTCTGACAAAACACAAAAGAAAACATACGGGAGAGAGGCCATTCAAGTGTAAAATTTGTTCTAAGGGATTTACTCAAAGCGGGACGCTAAAAAGGCATGAGAGAACACATAGCGGTGATAAATTCTATCAGTGCCAAGTTTGTTCAAAAGCCTATACTCGGAGAGATTATCTGCTGGTCCATAGTGAATCACACTGTCGGCAAATCACCATAAAAAATGACTGACTGCCAATATTTTGAGGTAGATTGCAACTAACCCAGTCAAAATGGACATTTCAATTCACAATCATTTGAATATACCTGAAAATTAGTACAGGTCTTGAATATACTGTTATAAATAAAATATCAAAAGTCTCCATTGAACCATTTTGTGCTAAAAATTTTATTAAGGATTGATGGTCAAAAAAAATTCTTGCTAACGACCAAAGTTATCGTAAAAATTTGTCAAATGAATGTTATTGATCATGCAATTTTCTATAAAAATTGTTCTTGTATTTTTTTCCTACGAATTACCATTACTGAGATATCACTTTCTTTCAACAGTTGAAGTAGTTATATCACATAATATGCACATTTCTGTTCCACTTGCCAGGTAGAATATTGCAGGTTTTTTTTTCAACACAAGTGTATTCAGGACCTCTACCAATTTCTATTTCTATAGGAATCATTGTAATCTAACCACTATTTTAACTGGATTAAGTCAAAATGAGAAAAAAATCAAGTAGCTTGGAAAAGATGATGTCAATTCAACCATTCATACCTAGTAAAAAAATATAGCATGCGACATTTTACATTTTATATGTAAATAATAGGAAAAGTCATAATTATTAAATTTTATTTTAAATTTAAAAATCATACTTAATTTGTACATACAAATTTGAATCGATCTTTGATGTATATTGATTTGAATAAATATAATAACCACCCACTAACTAACTTTGTATCACTCAAAAAATAATGATTAACTTGAGATATATGTATACATTATTGAAGACCCTCCGTATACCGTTCTTCAGAGAAATACTAGTTGAAAAATACACAGGGTGGCTTCTTTGCTGATATAATCACCCATCATGAAAAATATTTTTGGGGTTGAACATTCCAGGTTCTGAGAGCTATTCTTGTCTTATGGCTTTGTAACGCTAACGTCGAGCATAACTATTCAGACAATAAACTTGTTAATGTATCCAGAACCTTTTTCCAGAGGCCTTAGTATTGCTCTAATGAAGTGATACACAAGATACCCATCACTTGAGAATTTCTCAGAAAAGGGATTAACGTCTATGAATCGTACCCAGCTAGGTTGGAAAAAGGGAATAATTGGATGCTGAGAAGATGAAGAAGAGACAAGGAAAGCGGAAGCAAAGAAAATTGAGCAAAAAGAAAAGTTGAATTGAAAAACAAAGGAAAACATAAAAAAAGAAAGAAGATGTAATTAACAACAATTTTGGTATATATAGAACGCTGGTTAACAAGGAAAAAAAAATAGAATTGAAATATACTTTGCAGCAAACAATCTAAAAGATAATACTTAAGGACAAGCTCGTCTCTAATTGCGAAGATAAGCTTCAGTTTATTATTCCCAGAACTTTTCCACTTCAAAGAAGAAGTGAACCCATAAAAAATTAGATAATAAGACTCCAAATCACTTCTATTCTAAATGAGTATCCACTGAGACTGTCAGGTTTAAGATGAAATGCATTCACCAAGGTTTTAGTGGAGACTCTAGGATAATCTGATTTTGTTTAACAGAACTACAGGGTGCTTTAAGCTATCAGGTTCAATGTAAAATGAATCTAATAAGAAAACAAATTGCCTTGCTTTAAGTTACTCTATTACCAAAAAAAGGGGCCAAAGAAAACACTCATCATGAGAGTCAAAACACCAGAATATGGCTTCCCAACGTCTATACCGATGAAGTGTTATAACAGTCCCTTCCCCGGGAGATCCGGAACATACCCAATGACAAGATTAATAGAAATACCGTGGTGTAATTACTTGATCCCCTCCCCATGTAAAATATTTTGACGAAAACCATCGATCTACAGCACTATTGATTCTTCATAAAATAAAAAGATCCAACATACTTCGGTATTCCATTCACAGAGCCAAGCCTCTGTGAATTACATGAAAAGATTCTTGTTCCATCTATCAACATATATGCAATGATGGGTCAATCTTATTTTCCTGGTCGAAAATTTTTGACAAAACAAAAACGAATCGTTTTAAACACCAGGGTTTCTACATATCTTTTCCTGAGCTAACAATAGTCAGATTTTCTGTTGTTTTGAAGTTAGGAGCCTCCCTATAATTCAGTGAAATTCCGCCCCTTTGTATTATTTCTCATCCGCTTTACTTTCTAAATAACCGCCTTCTGGGATGGTGCATTAATTTATTTGCACCATAGCTTGTTTTCGTTTTAAGGATAGATTAGACTGAAACCGAATTTTTCTTTCCTCGTCAACAAAAGAAAAACGAAATACGTACTTGTTTTTTCAGCTGCTTTTTAGGTTTTATGCTCCTATTAAATGGATGCATTTCCAACTTTCATATTTCTACGTCTTAACCACTTCGCAAATCATACTCTTCTTCGGTAATCCCATTCATTAAGGATATGAACTTTGCATATCCTCTAGCATTTATATTTGTCCTCTTTCAAAATATTTCTGGTAGATTTTACAGAAATCCCTAGTTCGAGGGCAATTTCTCGTAAAGAACCACCTTGATTAGAAATATTTTTGTTACTGACCAAACCTAAATTGAAAAAAAAAATAGAAGTAACAACAGGGCCGTAATTGAAAACTGTTGTCACTAATAATGGTAGTTATTTTAAATGAAACTATAAAAATATCAAGTGTGATATACCACTGAATTGTAATTTGATCAATATTCGTAATAAAAGAGACAGGTTCGAATTTGAAAATGAAAGTTGTTGGTTGGCTGTGTTGACACCAAACTTTCAATCGAAGATTTATTGTTACATCATTATAGTAATGTTTCCCACAGTAGTTATATTTTTACCCATTCAATCGTCTTGATATCTGTTACAGTTTTGAATATAATAATACTACCACATGATAAAAGAAACGGCCTGTATAAATAATCGTCATCAGCTCAATTAATTAAAATCAGAGAATCGGAAAGTAATTATTGTTATATACTTTTCTAACAAAATTTTTACGAGTAATATGAACTGTAATTAAGTCGTATCCTCAGTTAATTTGAATGTGAATAAGCTATTTTAAAAATAACCTTTCACTCAACTAATCATGTTTTTTTTTCCTATAATTACTCGAATCTTAAGCAATGGAAGTGTCTTTCAACATGTAGATATTTATAGCTGTTCGCCACATACTATTAAAATAACGAAAGTCCGTTTGGTTGACTGCAAATAAATTTGTATGTTTTGTGACACTATATATTTTTGTATTGTATTGTTTTATATTTAGACAAATATATTTATTGAAAATATATTTCCGTAAATATTTGCTGAAAGTAAATTCAAAGTGTCATTATAAATCATGAGTTACATAAACGACTAACATTTTATTCAATGGTCAAAACTGTATGAGAAACGTTCCTTGAATTTGCTTAAAAAATATATTTCCTTGACTGTTGAATAAACATTTTTGTTTATTTCCGATTTGAGCTACACATATTTTGATTATTTTTTAGCACAATGAATTGTAAATTGGAACTCCGATTGCAATATTCTGCAAACGATTTTTTTCTTTGGAAACAATAAAAACTTCAAGTATTTCATTAGTTTTGTTTATTTAAATTACAACTCAATTCATGTACATTAAAAATCAACTGTTATCTAAACTAGAAGAATACAAATAATGGTTCATGTGTCCAACGAATGCAGTAATTAATTAAATTGAAACGAATAAGTTGAGGGATGAACATTTGAAACAATAAAAAATAAAACTCCATCTACAGGAAACTCGACCCTTGCTCAATCAAGATAAGCAAGTAAAGCCAGGCTTGTGCCGAATGAGAAATCACCTTCTGTTTCTCTCTGCAGCTGTCACTTCCAAGACATCTAGTTGAAAGTGGAGCCAAAAGTTGATATCTACCGTTCATATTAATATTAGATGATTTTATAATAATTATGAATTTAAAAATTATGGTCAATGAAAAGGAATGGACTTCAGATACAAGAATGTTTGACAAGTTGTACAGACTTATATATGTTTTTTATGGTATATTTGTCAGTTAATCTGGTATTCTAAAAATATTATGAATGTCGTTCTCTCTCTTATTCCAAATGATTGTTTTAAAAGATTTCATTATCAAGCTGTTAAGATGAATCAACAACTGTAGATATTTATTTTATTAATGCAACATATTTCTCGAAACTGCAATTGTTTTCAAAAATTTGCACAAGCATATTACTTCAATTCATGTTCAGATTCAAATACTATCCAAATTTTCATCGGATCATTTCTCTTGACTAATATGGAAACAAAAAGAAAGAGACTTCGGTTTTCCTATTTTGCTGCTGCTTCAGGTGAGATAAATCCGTTAATCTAAACTAAATCTATTTATTCCCAACTTCAAATAAGTATAGTTATTCCAATTCCTAAAGTAACAAACAAAGAAGACAATGGAATTCAGATCTAAAAATTCACTATAGAGAAAATCTTAGAAATGGCATGTATCAACAGTTATCAAGATGTCAAAGCCATTTTTCTCGTTTGTTGGCCGTGACCTGCAGGTTTTTATGACTGACGGTTCGTCTATGACTGAGGTAGACATTATCAAAAGTTATGAGGCAACGGGCAAAGTGTTCTGGTTGTCTTCAAAACAGATTGATGATAGCAATTGAGTGTAGGTACCCCGATTTCAATAATGTTAATTTCATCATCTTTCTTAATTTCTATCGTCTATGTAGTTTTGGATAGTAATGAGTTTTATCGGGGACCTGACAGCCATTTCCAGTCGAATCAGTTATTAAAGTTTGTTGAAAATATTAATATTGTCTTCCTTAATCAGTCTGACTTTCGAAAAATATTCTAAGTAAATTCTTGATAGCAAGAAAACATGTGGTATTTCTGGACTTGAAAAGAGTCTTTGAAACCATCTACAGAAATAGACTACTAGAGACACTAGAGATAATAAAAATAGAAGGAAACCTTTCACAGGAATTATTACCATCACTAAGGGTGTACTTGGTTCTCTCTCATTTATTTTGTATTTCAGTGTAATTATCTTTGCAGATGATACATTACTGACTCATAATGATGCAAACTTGAAGAAAGCAGTTGAAACAATGAATAAACTACTTGCTGGTGTTAAAAAATATTCAAACACAGTTACGATTATCACTAACAAATTTAAATATAGTAAAATAAACTTGAACAGTATTGCTATTGTTGTGGAATCTGAACGACTTGGGGTGGTATTGTCAGTAAAATATCTAGCTTCTCAGTGAAACAACTGTTTTACTTTTGATTTGATTAGGTACATTGAAAAAAGTGATTCCAACGAAATTTAATCTTTTTTCTATAATTACCAGCAATCTATCGACACAAACAAAATCACTGTTTATAAAGTGATCTAGACACACTTTGACTACTGTTCTTCAATTATATTTTTAAGTCAAATATGTCTGTTTCAAAAGCAATGCAATCGAGGAATGAGGGTCATATGTGAAAGTAATACACATATGCAGCAATTACCAATGGATATCAGTAAAAAACAAAATACTATACCATGATCATTATTTATAAAATAATCAATAATATGATATCAGCCTATTTCCGTATATTCATTACACATCAAGTTCATCAACATTTCACTTGACAAAATAACAAACTTGTATGTAACCAGAAGAAACTTGATTGACAGTGGCATGAATTCACTTTTTTCCAAAGGATTTGTAGGTACAAATTCGTTGAATTTGTTCGAAAGTGACTTGGATTCATTTATGATCAATTTTTATCCTTAATTTTTGCTGATATAGATTGTTTCATATCAATTTCATGAGATTTTCACACCTATATTGAAGTGCATAAAATTATAAAATTTATGAAAGCTACAGGGCTGTACGCAAATTAAGTTTTAAATCCGAAACAACAATGAATATCCATGGCGAAGGGATGTATGGCTCTGAGCTCATCAGTGACACTAACGGAACCTTTGAAATACTGGACGCCCTCTCGTCGCAGATGGTGATGACCTTCTTTCCTAGCTGCTCGTTGGACCAGTATGTACCATGTAGTAACCGAATTATCCAAACCCGGGTCTACAAAGGCGATAAACGTCGATTACACGACCCCAACTGTCCCCCCTGTAACATCGAGTCAAGATCAGGAGCTTCTCAGTTCTCCAACTCTTGAACAAACATAGGACACTAGAGTGTGCAGCAAATAAGCGACTCACCATCTCCTCAAGAGTAGGAGATCTTATAAATTTGCCTCACACTGAGTTCTTGAGCAGTAGAAGTAGAATTTGCATCAGGAGAGGAAACCGTCTCTCCCTGCAAGCCTCACTGAATTCAGTGTATCGTCACTAAAGTGCGATTCTAGAGCTGCACATTCCGGCTGGGATGGCCATAGGCTACCTGAGAAACTAGGAGCGTATCTTCTGGCTGGTGGGTCAGCTCTAGCCATGGAAGAGCGTCTTCCTGAACAGCATCACAACAGACCTATTTCCTAAGCTACCCATTTGTGTTTTTTGGAGAAGATTATACTCTTTACTAGAAAAATCAGCCCTGGTAGCAAAAATACGTACTTTTGCCTGCCATAGGGCGAATCATATCAGGTTATCTTCATTCGGCAGAGTCCCATTCCTGCCAGCTGACCTGAATGATTACTCACCAAATGAAGTAATCAGGTTCGCTAAAGACCTGGATTAATTTGAATTAAAAAAAATTCGGAATGACACGCCCGCTTTGATGGTTGAAGAACTTGCAACGAGTTTTAGAACAAAAATTTACCCTCTTCAAACAGACTTGGGTTTTGCGAAAAGTTTTATCCATGAAATCCAGCCATGCAATATGTTTGCTCTATGGGTTGCTCTGTAGATTCTCTGGCTACTTGGAATTATATTATTTGAAATAACTTATTCGATTCGTTTCTCTTATAATGTGATCCTTTACAGTTAACCTGATGACATTCGTAGCAGGATATGGGTTTGCCTGGTCCTCTCCATGCGTCCCGAAGCTAAAAGAAGAAACTGACCCCGCCTTCAACCCCTTATCGCATCCCGCTAGCACCCTAGAAATATCATGGATCACCTCCTTGCACCATTTAGGAGCCCTTTGCGGTCCTTTATTCACAGGCTACATATCCGAGAAAATAGGGAAAAAAGCTACGCTCATAATGTTTTCCCTTCCGCAGGTGGCCTCCAACGTCATGCTCATTTTCGCCAATGACGTGACCCATTTTTACGCCTCCAGATTCCTGCTGGGCATGGGGACTGGATGCGTTTTCTCTATTATTCCTTCTTACGTGGCTGAAATCACCGAAACCGAACACCGAGGGAGGACCAGCATGTTTTTGCCACTAATGGTAGTCTCAGCGCAATTTCTGGTCTGGTCCATCGGACCTTACGTTGCCATCAGTACTCTGGCAATGATGTGTCTCGTTCCCTCGGCTCTATTTCTGATCGTTTTTGGACTCTACGTGCCCGAGAGCCCGTACTATTTTGCAAAGCGTAACAAGCTGGACGAAGCGGAAGAAGCATTGGTGAAGTCAGGAGCAGAGAATGTGCAAAGCGAGTTAAAGGCCATACTAAGTAGCGTCCAAAATTCCAAAATTGCGTTTTCATTTGACGATTTTCGAAAATCTAAAGCGGCAAAAAAGAGCCTAATCATCGCGCTGGGTCTGATGTTCGCCCAGCAGTTCAACGGCCATCCAGCAATAGCCGCGTACCAGCAGACCATCTTCGGGTCCACCAAAGGCAGTATTGGACCTGAGAAATCTGTGATGATAGCTGGATTTGTCCAACTACTAGCGACACTAGTGACGGTGAAATTTGTAGACACTGTGGGCAGAAAGAAGCTTTTGCTGTTCTCCTACTCTGCGCTGCTAATTTCGGTCACTGGTCTTGGCACTTACACCTATCTTCAAGACAAAGGCTTGGATTTGTCCGCCTATTCCTGGATACCCATCAGTTGTGTGTTGTTGAATATGAGCAGCTTCAAGGTTGGATCCGGACCCATCTCGTGGACCGTTATTGGTGAAATTTTTCCTCCGAATTTCAAATATTATTTGAACGGAATGGCAGCTTTTTTGATGACCTTATTCGGGTTTTTTGTGACGTTTATGTTTCCCAGGATTTCAGAAATATTGGGAATGTCTTTTTCGCTTTTTTTGTTCGCCGGCATCGTAGCATTCGCGATTGTTTTCATCGGTTATTTCGTGCCGGAAACTAAGGGAAAATCTCTACAGGAGATTCAAAATATACTCCATAAATGAATAATAATTGATTGGAAAAGTATCAAATATATGTATTGAAAATAATTTCATAATAAAACTTAATATTTATTCGTCCAACCTCTGTTGGGTGAAAAAATTGGTATTTTGTTGAAATAGAATGGTTTATAATTCGAGAATTGAACGTTTCGAAAGTTCCTAAATAATTGCAGCTGTTATTTTGTTTCATGTTGGTAGGTTATTCAAAGTGCGTTTTTGATTCATCGAAAAATTATTGATTTTGTAGACTATTTTCTTAAAAATAGATGAGAACAACAAAAATGTACATTTTTATCAATAATAAACTGTTCGTTCTGTTTTGTACTTATATTTATTTTGTTTTTAAGAAAATACCTTACCCTTAACCAACACAATGAAAATTATCAGAACACATTTTGAAATAAGACGGTGAACATCGAGTTGATTGGAACAAGAGAATTTCTACTACACTTGGAAAACTTTCCCATCATAATTTTTGAATATAAAAATTCCGATTACCTCAACAATAAATGACTAGTTCAATATTTCTTCATACGATTATGCCAAAGTTGACATTTCAAAGTTAAGTGTTACTGTCATTATGTCGAAGAAAATTCATAAAACTGCCAAAAGAGGAAAAGATAAACAAAACTATGTGAATACTCACCTTTGAATATATTAATGCCCGATTCACTACCGTGAATTTTTAGGTGGAACCAGTCCAATTTTCGGAAGCTGCAGTACAAGTTGAAGAAAAAGTAATAGTTGAGGAAAAAATAGGTCCTATCAAAATAATCCTGGAATGTTATCAAAGTGTAGTAAGTGTTCGTTGTAGACCTGTGACACGTATCCTAAATGATTATACATTTGAAAAAAATATAGTGGAGATGCGGGGATGTAGGAAGGAAATACATATGGTCTGTGAAATACTTTTAATTCGCTCCAGTAAGTTATTGCCCAAACACTAAACTCGGGCGCATTTGACCAGGCTCCACCTGTTAATAATTAACGGGAGCTTCGTCGGGGGGCGCAGTGGTCATGCTATACGCAATGCTGCTACCCCATTTGTTCGTTCTACTTTTCGTTGAAAATAAGATAAAAACAATTATATAATGTAGGCCTCCTCGTCGGAAAACTTTTTGGTATTTTCTTTCACATGAACTCACTTTCCATTTGTTAAAATTATTACAGAATTGACGACCACGTCCAATCCGTTCGACATCCAGCCTGGTTACTGACGTAGGGGGCCGCCAGTCCTCTCAATTTGTCTTTTACTTCAGTATTTATAAGATCGTGACGTTATTTATTTCAACTCATTTGGACTCCGCTCCTACCACAACATTGCTATTAGCTATTATGTAAAACCAAGCTACGACACTTAATAGGTGTAAACAATCACTTCCGCAACACTATGGTTTTGAAATGTTTTATTTTTGCAGGTGGGATTTTTTCAAATCTCTAGTATACAAACCAAATGTTCATTTCTAGAAAAAGTAATAGGTGAAACGGCTTGGATACCAGTTTCCGACGATGAATTTCTAGACATAGATGAAACTTTCTACCTCGACGTTGACATTAATTCTGTCAAACACTTGAATAGGCTGATATCTTCCCCTGTCGTAGGTAAATAATCAATTACGGTAAATTATTAAATTCACAGAAGTTTATCCTGAAAAAATATCACACACATGTGGATGTACCATATAGCTTACTAACATCATTATTATGTAACTTTCATTTCGAAACTCCTGGATAGTTTTTTCAATGAAACAAATACTGGTGCTACTATAAAATCAGAAGAATATTCTTTGAAAGTTTGGTAATTGTTTCCTTTCAATGTGAATAACAATCCCTATTAGTCTAATAGGTTTCAGCCATTTCGTTATGGAGGCACTATTCCTTGATTTGAGTAGTATGTCTACTGCACTCCTGGTCCATGTTTTGGCGGTCCAGAAATCAAGTAGCGCTGTCGACCTGTGGGAGGGGAAGGGTGTGCTAACCCATTCGCCCAAATCGCATTTCTACCGAAAACCGAAAAAAAAATTATAGTTTGTAGACTTGCAAGGGGTGGCATGGGAGAATATATTGTGTGTAAAGGGTGAAAATTGCGAATGAGTGATTAGAGTATTGTTTAGAGCATAGCGTACGTGTGCTGAAACATCTCAAAATATCGGAATGGAGTTTAATTTACAATACAGTACAGTAGGTGTAATTTGTGTTTGATATAACTCACCCTACACTATTGTTTGGTGTAGGGTGAATTATATATATAATTTTAAACGCAAATTTTGGGCAAAGCTTTTTGCTGTGTCTCTTTTCACTTACAAGTCTTTTGAGTACCCTAATAGGGAAGGGGGCTGATTGGAGGGTAAATCAAAATGATTTTGAAAGGATACCATCATTATTTGATTCAAGGAATTACCTTTTTCTCCATATATAGTGTCATTATTACATTGGCCATATATGTACCTTCATTATAGTTTTTTATTTTCCATGGAGCTTTAACAAGCTAAAGTGCCTTCATGAGTTCTTGCAAGATGCAAAAGTATATGTCTATTATTGTCATCATCTTTTTGTACTATAGTGTCAGTATACCAAATGATGGAAGCTTACGATCCAAACCTTCAAGATCAACTTCAAAACAGTATAAGGGTGAGTTCAATAACTTCAAAAGTTTTTGAAGGCTTCCGCGAAAGCATCATCAGCGTATACGAACCGATTCCGGATCAAGCGCTAGAATTTGCAGAAGAAAGCAACCAAAAGGAGAAGGCATCACCAAAAGGCAAAAAAAGTAAATCGCCGAAAAAAGGGAAGAATAGGTCCTCTGCTAGCGAACCAAGCACATCGAAGGCTTCTATGAAAACTAAGGCAACTAAGAAACCAGTTAAAACTAAGCTTTCTAAGATTAAATCAAAGTCGACATCGTCTACATCAGCGACTACCTCAGGTTCGGCTATTGAAATTCGGAAAGAGGTTATGAGTTTTGGGATGTGTACGATCGATCTACTACCACTTTTTTATGGTATAGTATGTAGTTTAGGGACTGTTTCCTCTAAATGTGAATATTGTGAATGTATTACAGATATATGGTTCTTTGAGTCTTAGATTGGTAGATAAATATATTAGGTTGTGTCAAAAGTTTTGTCTGTTTTTATGAGTTCACTTCAAACTATAATATTTCAGTGAATATTTATTCAATTTATTCGAAATACAGTACAATCAGTACACTTTTGCCAACGTAACACAAGTCGATTGATTCCGCCAGCGAATGTTCTACCGGTGAGAAGTCTGGAGAGTATGGTGGGTAGGGCAAAATTTCAACGCCCAATTCGTTTAATTTTGTGATTTGTGAAACTTGCGAACGGACATTGTCGTGGAGCTGGACTGGACCTCTTCTGTTGACCAGTGCCTGCTGCTGCTGACACAAGTTTCGGTACATTTTGTCGATTTCCTGACAATAGGACCATGTTGTGATGGTTTGTCCCTGTTGCAGAAAGTTAGAGTGAATCACACCACATTGACCATCATGGTTCTTTTTTGGTGGGTTCAATTTAAATTCATAGAGAAAACTGAAAAGAGGCAAAAAAATAAAATCTGCAAAAAATGAACAGTATCAATGAATAGAGTACAACATTATCTATCAATCTGTATATACCACGACACAGTAGAATGAATATTTATTGAGATATGGAGCTACAAAAATACATGACATTGAAACGGACAACCTAATATAATTTATTCTATTCCATCGTCATCCATATTCAAATAGATTTAAACATTATTAGGTCACCGGATACTAACTTGAACAAATGTTTTGCTATAGGTCAGAAATCTTTTTCGGAAACAATTCTCATAAAACCCGTTCGAAAGTATGGAGAAGAGCAAATGAAAACATACGAAACGAATCCAAAAATTGTAGTTACAGTTTCCGTTGAAGAGGATATAAATATTATTGGCTCTACAATAATGAATTGTACAGTGGAGAGTATTTATAATATACCTTTATTGATGACACCTGAAATGGAATATATGATGTGTGGAATTATCTCAGTGAATGAAACCGTATGTTTTGTATTTAGAAGTCATTGTTGAACAAATAATAAATATATTTCACCATTATACTATAATGGAGAAAAATAATTGTGAGAAACAGTTATTAACACAGTTATCAATAATTTGTGAAAAACACATCACTCGAACTCCAAGACAAGGTCTAGAAAATCGGAAAACCATATTTTTCATATTTTTGAATTCTAGGAAAAATGTTGCATGATGTTTGCAAACCCCAAATACACCACACAAATAAGTGAGGAATCAAACAGATTATGGCCTGGTGTGCAGAATATAGGTTTTGATGCTTATTCCACGAAATATAGGTTAGTCAAATCTCCTTGATAATATTTTCCATTCATTTTGTTCACATCAGATAGTGAGTCGATACGTATGAAAGAAATAACTCCTGATGAAATATTGAAATTTCTTAAATATCTTGTTGCTCACATTTTCAATAATTTTCAACTTTCTAACTCACAAGAGCATTTATATATAAGTATTATTTTTGCTAATTCAGTTCAAGACTAAAGTTGAGCACTTATTTTTATTTTTTTGAGCCCCACGTTGGGTGCCAATTTTCATGTCAAAAATGTCTTACTGACTTTCTAGAAATAGGAAAGTTGAATACTTTCATTTTTCAGGATGAGCTCAGATGAGGGATCAATTTTATGTAAGTTAGAAGACGATATTCTTCCCTACTTGAAACAAGACAACCCAAGATTGGAGTTCAACATGATTAGGAGAAATTTTTTATTGCGAGACGGAATGAACAATCTTGCTGCGCACATCAAAACGCATCGCCACCTGGTGATGGAATTTTACATGACGACTAAAGTTTCGGTGAGGTTTTGTTTGCATCAAATGGTTATGAAAATGATACTTTTTAGCAAAATATGTTATATATTGTATGAGGTTCAGTCAATTAACTTCCGATATTGAATAATTATTAACCAAATGCTTAATTAATTTCAAGAATACTGAAATCACCATAGAAAACCGTAATATTTTGTCTTTTGAGAAATTTTGATGAATTTCTTTGAAATTATTAATTTTTCTTTTCGAAATACTAATGACATATACTCGTTAAATCAGAGTGGCGTTTGAGGTTTCTGCAAAGTTCCTTTTGTCTGATATATTTTCTACTATAGAAAAAATCTTCGTCAAATGTGTCGTCACAAAAATTGAACAAGAGTAGCAAAAGGATGTTGTCAGCTACATCAGAATCCTCTCAAAATAGTCACGAAAGTTTCAAGAAACCTACGAGTAAACAGCAACCGTTTTTGCATCTTATGACTATTCTAGATGTATCTACCCTTTTATACCCAGGAGGTGAGTTAAATTCTTAACGAATCCAAATTGCTTTGAAGTAGCAGTTCATAATTATTAGAATTATCTTCCTCCGTATGATAATCAAATTCACTTTTCATCGGAAATCTTGAAAAATCTTGTTGAATCTATCTAGAGATTTATTAGTGAAGAAACTTTTCTATACGAGTATAGTATCATACTTACATAACATTTTTTTATTCATTATCGAACAGCTGGTTGGTTACTGTGAGTGTATCGTTCTACTTCTGGAACCAACCGCTAATAATAATGATAATGTTTACAAACCCCAAAGTTGATGCCACGCTTGCCGTTCCGATCTTACTCTAATCCTTTCGAGCAGTGAAGTCGACTTGATGAGAGGAACTGTGTCAACTCGACGTAAAGACCTGAAAAATGATACATCGTCTGTTCCACGGTTGTATTTGTCCCGACAGCCATGGACCTTTGAGTTCTGCATGACAGAATGGTACTGGATGGAGAATGTAAGGTCATCAGGAGTTTGAATCCCCTTCTCTGCATGGTCTGACCATGAGAGACCTGAATGAAGGTGACCACAACTCTGTCACTGAATTAGAGCCCGTTCAGCAAAAGGCCCACATACAAGACGCAAAGATCACTTCATTCCTGCGACCACACAAGGATTAGCCGATGCATAGGGTCTTCTTCAACAACATTGAACGCCTTGGCTTATCAAAGCACCTAACCCCCGCTTCGCAGTCTCTTTCCAGACCACTCTGGAACATCGGCATAGAAATGCCATGTTACAGATTTGAAAGGACTTGATATTGAACCTTGGAGTACCTACATCTTGCAGGGATTCGATCAAGTGTAATGATTGGAAATTTATTATAACTTTTTGGGAAATTTTGAGAAAAGCTTTGATGAGTCGTTGGCATGATGGGAATGAACCTAGAAAATGGAAAATAGTGTGAATATTTAGCAAGGTATTGAAAAATATAATGGTTTCGAATATAAGCTCAAATATTGGTAAACACTCTACTTATTGAAGTGTTTTGGAATCATATAATAATTTGCCAAACTGTTTGGAAAATGACAGTGAAATGAAATTTTAAATATATTCTGTTATAAAACTATTATGCTCAAATTTATCAATATTTATTCAAGCGAATAACTCAAACTTTCTTTTGTTTTTTCCCCAATATAAACGTTGTCTTTGTTACAGTTCGTTGTGTACGAGTTGCAAGTCCCTTGACAACTTTCAGTAAAGAAGATGCTCTAAAATTTGGAGGTCTGAAAGATTCTTATTTCAGTCAGTCGGATGAAGAAAATATCCAACAAAAACAAAAAGGTTCACCCAAAAAAAGTAAAGGGGGTAAAAAAGATAAGGGATCGAAGGAAAAGAAATCAACACAAAGTTCTAGATCCACGAAAGATGTTATCAAAGAATCAACTGATGAAAGTCCAGAAGAGGTATTGGAATTTGATAATTTGATATACTGTTCTTCGGTTTCAACCGCGTCTATAATTTTAATCTTTTCGACGTTTCGGCTCCTGCTTTGGAGCCATTTTCAAGAATCACTTAGAATTTTACTTACATGACTCGGGGACGAGGTCGTTATCCCCCTTGTCCCTAAGTCTCGTTACTAGTTCTATGCTTGCTGTGTTCCGCTGCGAACTAAGAGCGGAACGAATATACGGCTGCAAGGTTGGCCGCATATCCAGTATATGTACTGCTTGCACTACTGAAGCGATTTTACATCAAAAAATTGGTAGATACGTTATTAATGTATACATGAATATTAATATATGGATTTATTTGTGTGTAACTTTTATTCTTGGGACACAATTCCGTTTTTAGGCTCCTCCGGAACCGGAACCAAGCATGCCAGTTTTCGATGAAAACGGAAAACCCTGTTTCATCATCGTTGAAATCGAGTTATCAAAACCAATAGTTCCAGAACATGATGTGGAAGATCTAACCGAACGGTGAGAAAAATATTCCCTAATTTCTTTACTCGATAATATAAGATAATATAGAACTATATAATTTTTTATTATTCAAGGTTGAAAAACATGCTCAAGAAACTAGGACATACTTCAATTAAAATAGAGCATCCGAAAGGGAACCCTCTCAGAGATATATTGAATGATATAATTCAGGACATCAATAAGAACTTTCCAAGATTTCTAGAGAGTAATTGTTCGCGTAAAGGTAATAGACCCAAAGATATGACTATGAATGAATCCATTAGTGTAGAAAGTTCATTGTTCACTATATTAAAATAAGCTGTACAAAACCAAAGTGCAATTCGAACTTGTAATGAGAATAAGGTGTTGCGGTTTTGATGTTTGGGCCGCGCGATTCACCAACCAAGTTGGCGTCTTCAGTAGGCACTATTACCTCATTTCGTACTAGTCTACTTTAGTAGATGCATCAATAAGAGTAATGCATTGCTGGTGTTTCGGAATAGTGCTTGTTTGAGTTTCATTCTATGCCAGAGGTTTCACTTCTACCTTCGATCAGGGCCTGCTGCTGATCACCAAGCAGCCCTGCCTTGATAGGAAACTAATACTAGTGGTTGCTACAAAGTCGCTACTGAGGCCGCCGGAAAGTTGCATAAAACAACAACTTCAATGGAGACACTACAGCTTTAGCCCATTTCGGAGCTTAAAGAGCAGGGACACATTCGTAGAAAGATATGTTTTATTTCTAGACAAGGTGAGCGGAGCAAAGAGAAGTTGAACCTTCAAAATGTGGATATTCAACCACATATAGAAAAATAGATTGCCAGTTATTTTATAGTATGGCTATTTCAGCGAGTAAGAACCACGTAAGAGAACTATAATATAGTACACGACAAAAATCTATTGTACTGTTCCATTCTTGAAAAAATCCAACCTCTCAGAGTACCCTTTTCTGCCTAGCACCCAAATTCAACAACATTATCCCAGAAGAATTTAAATCACAACAAGCAAACTAACATTCGAGAATCACTTGAAACAGTTCGTTCAAAAACATGCAAGGCATTCAATACATTCGATGATTTATCTAGAAGGATAGGTAAAATTTATATTCCACTCCCCACACCGTGGGGTAAGGGATAATTGGATCCGAGAATCATGGTTTCTAAGCAAACGCAGTGAGACAAGTCCTCTGCATTTGTCCGGCCTTAGCGCGGCAAGCCGACATGATCTTGACATTCGTGGTAACAAAGCACTTTGAGGCAGCGCTATATTGATGGCCTCGATATGTCGAAGGATATAAGTTGAGAACAGCAAGTGCATTGGAGTCTTAATAGGCACTAGGTGTCAGGTACCTCTATACCCTTCACGCGACTGTGGTAGACCAAAGTGTTGAAGACCCTATTCTGGTAGGCCGTGATGAATCCCTCAGTTTCCGACTTCAATCATAGTATACTATGCTTCAACCCACTCGGCTTGAGGAAAGCGAATTCCAGGTGCTTTGATAAGCTGCTGTTGTTAAAGAATACCCCATGCATTGGTTTATCATTGTATTACCCCAGGAGTGAAGTGATTCCGTCGGCTTTTTGCTGAACAGGATTCAACTCGCTGACAGATGTGTGATCAACTCATTCATCAGTGTCGAAAGTTAAACCAAGTTCATCTGCCTTGAAGAGAAATGCTCCAATTTGTACTCTCTCATGGTCGTGGACCATACAGAGAAGGAGATTACAGGCTCCACCTAGTACCATTCTGTCGTGTATTATTATTTATTATTGTCATTATATACAAACAGTGTCGTACAGAACATTGAATTGGATACGTGAAATATTGTATTTTTCTGTAAAATTGTTTTATTCGTATTCGATTTGTTTTACTAGTAGTATACTTGTTAACGCACCCACAAAAAATTATTTTTTTAGATCAATATGAATATAAATCATCATTGTGAATAAAACTAGATTTACTTTCAATTTTCCTATAACATCTGAAACATATCAATCTCTTTCAGTAATCAACCAGACCACAGATGATTTCTTGAATTTCATAAAGTCTACTGGAGCGTATAGGGATTACTTGACCGCTATATCCGAGATTGCAACGCCTTTAGTGAAATCTAGAATAGGCCTGGGTATGGATATCGAAAAGAACAATAAACACCACCAAAATTTAATCAGTGGAGAATTCGTCTATTTCGTTGAAGGAATGAACGAAACTCTCAACAAGTTGGCCTGCCAAGGAATGGAACCAGCAATTGGAGAAAGATTCTTGAATAACACTCTCTTCTTCGCAAAAGAGGCTTTGGAAATGAAGGATCCTGTTTTGGCAAAAAGATACCTGCTTGAGGTTGGTTGCTAACTCAATGTTTTTATATCTTTGTTGGCTCTCTTACGTGCCAGAGAGAAATGAAAATGTGTCGGTTTGAAATTCAAATAACAAATTGATTAATGGAAGTAATTACAGCTGCGTACATGCGATTTCTCTTCGCAGTTGACCCATTCATATGAATGAACAATAAAGGTCAAAGTGATGGGTGGCTAGTTGCAAGGAGAACTTATTTATTAGAGACCGAGAGCAATGGTCTAGCTCGATAACCGCAAAGCGTTTCAGACAACATGGCATGAACAAATTATGAATGCATTTCTTCTCAAATGCCTTGCGTTACCCGACAAAACAGTGTATCTTCAATAACTAATGCCATTCCGTAGGACTCGCTTCACCATAACATCTGATCAGCCTACAGTTACTTTCAGGAGAGGTATGTTTCAGTGAGATTTCGTACGTTCGCTTCGTCAATGCATTTCACTATTGCTATTAGTGGATACTACTGTGGCACCCTGGAGATACGGTCACCGCGTGTTTATATTGTTGTAAATCATGCCCTATAGAAAATAACGCCGACCGCCACTGGTAGCCATAAACCAATTGTGACGTAGCTAAGAGCGCACGAATGTACGATGTTCGCTGTCGCTCTAGATGCAGCGAGAATAATGCTACCGATTTCTATGGAATTCCGGCGAAATTTTCTACCGCATTCGATTACGATATATAAACGCAAACCACAAGCATATCGACACAGTCAAGTGGAAGTTACAGTGCGGGGTTCTTAGCTGGACCCGGAAAATAGCTTTCACTCAAATGATCAATGGCTTATGAAGAAGATTTACAGCTCTTAGATGTAAGCAGCTTAGCCTGGGGTGAAACAACGACAGTTGAAAAAAGTAACTGTTATGTTTTGTAATCTACGTTTTCGAATTATTAGTATTATTGTTTTGTATGCTGATTGAAGTTTGTTTGAAAAAATGATGCATACATTGGAGAAATATAAAATGCATTCGTCGACAGTATCATAATCGGTATAGTTGTAGAAACAAACTCGTCAAATTCGGTTTTGGGAACTGACGAGGGAGATTAAATTCGCTGCAACAAACATAACTGTTGTTCTGAATATTTTGAAATAGCAAAATGTGCTCAAGTGGATTAAGAAAATTAAGAATTTTCAAAAAAAGGAACACTGACGAAAATCTGGGCGTTCAATAGATAGTGTCGTTTAGAAATTTCCATTCGTATGATTTCGACAAATAATTTTTCAAGTTTTGAGCTCAATGAAACGAGAAGTTATAAGGATGATCTGCAGGGTCAATCGTTTTTAACTTATTTTATTTCTCTTGAACTCATGGCTACAAATTACACATTACGGCTACTGAAATGTTCGATCAAATGAAAAATTTACAGGAAAAGGAAACTTGTAATCAGGGCTTTTTTATATATCGATAACAATATTATTATGTTTCTGCAAGTATTATTAGAGAAAATGCCAAAAAAAATTGCGAGGGAAGACGTAAAAGTTGCTGACCCATCAAAATTTGGATATTTTTTTATTTTTATTGTGGGGGTCCCTCTCCTGTGGAGGCCTCGGGGCAGTAGCTCCGCCTGCCCTAAACCCGGCCCTGGGTATATTATTTCTTTTTTTATCTTGAAATATGTTATCACTTCAACTGGGAAAACAACGAATCTAATTATCAGTATTGGTTTTAAAAAATTATTTATTTAAATGAAAAAATAATGTAATAAATTTGCTTTTGAAATAAAAATGTTTGTTTCAATTTTTTCAGAGAATCAGTAGCGATGGAAAAAATCCAAACTACTGGTTTGATTACGCAGTATATTCTATGGAAATGAAAGATGATATAAAAGCGTACGTTTGCATAAAAGAAGCTCTATTAATAAATCCTGCTCATAAATATAGGTAGGTAAGAAAAAATATGTTTCTTGAAGAATCTTAAAAAACGATGATCATTTCAGTTTGTTGTTTTTCGCAATCCTCTTGGACGAAAGAAACCTCAAGGAAGAAGCAGAAGCGTGTCTCTTGAACCTCACGATACAAGCTCCACGATGGTCGGAAGGTAAAACATACTTCAAATTGAAAACAATGTATTTGAGGAAGTATATTTATCTTGATCTGGAAACCTTTTCCAGTTCTTAATATTCAAAAACTTGTTATCTATACCTAGGTACTTATAAATGCGGAAGTCAACACACATTTATCTCTGTTTCTCCGTAATGGTCATTCCTAGAAAGCTGAAATTTTATATACGGTGCTTCTTAGGACTTAGATGCACACTAAGAAATGATTTTCGAATATTGCAACTGGGGCGCCCCCCCGTAGGGGTAAAAAGGTCGCGTTTCTCCGTACCTCTGCTATATATTTGGAGGCTGAAATTTTTGTATGTAAATTCGTTTTATGTTGCAGATGTGCAATAAGAATGGATTTTCAAATATTCCAACTGAGGCGCCAATCGCAGGAGACAAAGACGCTCCAATAAAACAAAATTATCTTTTCATCACTGTTTCTCCCTGTTTGCGGTGGGTGGGCGAGAATTAGTATCAGCATTGCACCCGTGAGGAGCCAGGGCGGGTCGCTATTGTAAATATATCCATGATGCTATCATAAAATAATTTAAAAAACTAACATAGTTTGAAAGGGTCCAGAAAATGTCTTGATTTTCATCTTGAATGATTCTCAATGAAATAAGTGAAACACCAGTCAGAGCGCGGAGCGTCATTGACATTAATTTTGTATTAATCGAACTCGCGAACTTTTTTATGGATATGTAGGGGACCCTGGGGCTGGTTTTAACAGGGGTAAATACTAACAGCGTAATTACATGGAACCTATTCGACTTACCATGTTAGTTCCAACGCACTTTGTGCTTACGAATACGCGCGAACGTGTCTCGACCTGTCAGTTGCCGGCCGAGCGTCACGGGAGCAGGTTGTGTCAGACGCCTCCAATTTCACAGGTAAATGAACTTTTTAACGTGTTTAATTTTTTGCATTACTTTTTAAATATGTATCGTAAAAAATTGGCTTTGGTATTGCATAAATCTGTATTTATTGTATTTTTCATTAATGTTAAAGTTTTAATCGAGAATATATCCGGTAAAAGAAAAACTATAACTTTGTGCAAAATGGGGTCGTGGGGTTGGTTTTAACAAAATGCACGGGGTAGGTTCTAACGCGTTAATATTTGCCCCGCACACGGGGCAGGTTTTAACAGTTGAAAAAATTTAAACGTAGGTAATATTGTTCTTACTGTACTGTACTGCAGTGACGTCTCGTCCAAGAGATTCACCAACATTCTTTAGTCCCGAAGCTGTACGGCCATTGCCAAAAGCGGCCCCCCGCTCTAAGTCTAATCGAGGTCGCAAGCGAAAATGTGCAATCTTAACCGACACTCCGGAAAAGAGTGCTTTAGAAGAAGAAGCTGAGCTAAAGAATAACAAAAAGAAATCTACTGCGAAAGTAAAAGTCAATAAGGAAAAGCAAAGAGTTAAGAAACGTAAAGTGGAAAAAAAAGAGAAGAAGTCCAGTAAACAGCCTAGGGATAGAGTGAAAAAGAAAGTATTACAAGAGAGTTCAGAAGACGACGACGATGATGAGGATGAAACCATTTGCTTAGGCTGTGGCTCATCATATTCTGAAGATATATCTGGTGTGGACTGGGTTGAATGTATATCCTGTAAACAATGGTCGCATATAACTTGCATAAAAGGCGATGCAGTTGCTTATGTTTGCACAAACTGCAACTCAGATTCCGATTACGATGACTAATTTTTATCACTGGTTTGAAGACTGACTAATGAGTAGGTTGAGTAAGACTGATTAGAAAGTTTCACTGTTATAACCAAAGTTGTACCTATGTTGATTTATTAGAGGAGTAATGTTTTGTTATTTTATTTGATAAAGATAGATTTAGTAAGTTTCAAGTTTATTATACATGTTTTAACGGCAAGGAGCCGAATTTCATTTTTTTTTGGATTTTTAATGATCATTTGATGATCAAACATTACTTTTTGTTCTCTAATGTTGATTAAGTGAGTCAGTTTAACTATATAATTTAAGTTTTCTGTTTATTTTATGAACGGTAAGGAACCGCATTTAATTTTATTAGTGTTTCTAATAAACATTGAATATTATTTTGTTGTTTATCTTAACCAAAATCCCATTCCCAACTACATGTTATTTCTTACCCCCGCTGTTAAAACTTTCCCCAGCGGTGTTAAAACCAACCCCAAACCGGGGGTAAGATCTAACAAGTGACTTGTTTGCCAAAACTCGTTTTTTCTCAGATATGGTAATTATTATATACATTTTGTTGTACTTTACGTAAAGCTCATTAAATTTTGCATCATTTACCAAAAAACCATGTTTCTTGCTAAAGTAGTTTAGAAAATATTATGCTTAATTCAAAATTTGTTAGAACCAGCCCCCGTCTCCCCTACAAGCACTGTGGAAAATTTAAAGCGCTCCGAGGGCGTCGCCTGCTAAAACCTTATTTATACCACATACAGCACGAATAGCCTTTTGTCATGAATATTGTCTTCATAATAGAATGAAAGTCAGCAATATCCATCACAGTACAGGTCTATTGTTTTTGCAGTAGATCTCCTATCATGGCTCTCGGGCTAATGTTCTACTGATCGAGAGTTAATATTTACTGATGATTTAGTTTCCTTTCTACAATAATTAATAAATGACTGTAAATAGTAGAAATAACCACGTATATAGTGGATATCTCTATATATTTTCTACTGTTTTTCTGACAAAATATATTGTTAAACATGAATATGACCTGATAAAACAAGTCGTGTTAGAGTATGGGCCCAACTTTTTGCTTCACGAACTTAATTCAACTCAGCTATTAACAACATTCATCAATTCTAAGGCGGTACGAATTTTGGCGGCTCAGCTAGTGAAAAATATAGATACATATTAAGCTGGCTTCAACATTATTCATGATAGTTTATTAATTAATTGTACATTCATTTTCAATAGGATGGGCCATTTTGTACTTGTTTTATAAGAAATATGAAAACTACGAGGGCATGGATGTATCTTTGGCAATGGCCAAAAAATATGTAGAAGATGAACGAACTCCCATAGATTATTTCACGTATTTCGAAGACTTAGCATGGACTTACAAAATTTGTCCCACGAGCATATTTTTCAGGGCTGCAACAAGTTTACTGAAAATGAGATTATACGATGTAAGCCTTGATAATATCATGTCACATTAATGCTGTTGTGTTTGTCAATTCTTTTTTTTCAGTGGACAGAAAGATGTCTTTCAGAAGAAAACAATAATCACAGTGGCTTAGTAAATTATCTCCTCTCCGCAATTTGCTACTACAAAGGACTTTACTCTGATGCTTTGCAACATATAGAGAAGACTAAGTCAGATTATGGGTTGGTAAGTTGAAACCATGTGTAGAAGTTATTGTAATTTTCATGTTATACTTTGATGTAAAACTATTTTGCAATATCGCAAAACGTATATCTGATTTTGTTTCCATAAAAAAAAAGATCTTAGCAAAAAAAAATTCACCTAGTACCTACTATCTTGTATCTATTTCGATAATCCTTTATAAAAAAAACAATGGTAGCCATTACATTTTTTCAGAACGATTGGCTATGAGAATTTGATCTAGGTAAAGTAAGCACAACCACTCTAGTACAAATTTTGATAATTCTCAAATGTCAAAACGTTTATATTATAAATATATATTGAGTAACTCACTCGATATGAAAAACGATAGATACCCAACGTATTTTTCTGTAAATAATTAGATTTTTCGAGTTATCACAAAAGTTTCAGTATTTGAGATTATAAAGTACCGAAGTTGATTAAGCTAGGTTTATACTGTTATGTTTTCCCCCTACACTGAATAATCAAACTTAACTTTTTTTCACTTTAAATACACAAATATTTCAACTAAAACTTCAACAATTATTTGAATGTCTATCGCTCTACTAGATCACTTCGCGTACCGCACTGTAACGTCCACTTGACTGTCCCGATATCCTCGTGGCTAGCCGTTCCATATCGTAATCGAATGTTGTCGAAATTTCTCCGAAGTTCTGTCGAAGTCGGTAACATTATTCTCGTTGCTTCTCGATTGGCGGGGAATCATCGTGCACTCGCGCGCTCTTAGCCACGTCACGCCTCGTTTGTGGCTACCAGAGGCGGCTGGCGTTATTTTCTTTCGGGCATGATTTACAACAATATCAACTCGGCAGAGAGCCACCCAATAAAAAAACTGAAGGGTGACAATTGTTTTTTATTTTTAAATGATTGTCGGAAAAGATACGACAGGTGGTCAGTACATATATAACAGTTGATACGACGAAACAATACACATAAGGCATCGATAAAATACACAAAAATACCGACTCATTATTTCATATAGCGTCCTTTTCTGCTACGAGTGAGAAAAGAAAAATATTGTTAACATAAGTTCCAACATTTGAGTTTTATCAAGAATTACACTAGGGTGGTTAAGCTTACTTGATATCAAGTGAGCATATCTACCAATTATAAAAAACTAGACGCGCAACAATTTTTTTTTCACTACAAACTTTCGACAGACAAAAAAAATACATTTTTCAACTTTACAGCAAGTGGCCTTGCTAACTTCATAGAGATGAAATAATCGAAGAAATATTCACAAGCATGAGTTAGTGCCTCATTTGTCTTCAACTCTCATTCTGGTTTTTTATTTAAGAATTATGCCATTGCTGCTCTTTCTGGGCACTGTCTTTATGCTCTCAACAAGATGGGGGAAGCTAAACAGGAATATTGTCACACACTTGGATACATCAACAGGCCAAATTTTATCCATTTGGTTTATTTGAACTATGCCGATATTTTAGAAAAATGTGGAGACTACCAAGAATCCAAAAAAATATTGTTGCTTGCCAATAAGTATACTCCTACGCCTACCAGTTGGTTGAAAACTGGTCTGTTATACTTTAAGGTATATATTTTTTCCTCTATTTTCTATATTTTAAGTTTTAAACCACTATATTTATACATTCATTATATGTTTTTGTAACTGGGTCATACCTGTGGAAAATAAATGTATTTTTATTATTAGGAAAACGATTTACTTGGAGCTGAAGAATGTTTCAGGGAAGGAAATCTAATTGATCATCGTCGTTATGAGTTATGGGAAAACTTGTGTTCAATTAACTTGAAGCTGAATAGACCACATGAAGCAGAACTGTGTAATCAGCAAGCAATAAATGTGAGTGCCTCCATCTTAAAAGTTTAATAAGAATATTACATTTCTCGTTTTCAGCATAAATTAGAGAAACAGAGACTTGAAAAGGGCATTGAAAATTAGTTTGAAAAATGGAAAAGCAGATAACCCTATTTTTTGTTAATAGTTTATATAAAGGATTGATCAGTCAATAAACTAGCAATTAATGTAATAGTTTGTGTTTCAATGTTTAGTAACTAAACTTCAACCGATACTTAAGACCGACATATTCTGGAGAAGTCAGGACGACATAAAAATTTTGAAAATTGATACAATAATAATAATACTACATTAGAATTTGTCAAAAAGAAAGTAGAAAATTAATAGTAAATTCCACCTTTCAACAGGTACTTCCTACGACATTGTTAATGAATGTTAATGAAAAAAAACCTTTTTTTACTGAAAATCAAAAGCACAAGATATGATTTCATCTGATGAAATATCATTTTTAAAATTTGGTGAACATGATGAATGAATATTCATTTCTGCTGTTCACCGACAACATTTTTAATAAGACTTAATTTATTTATTTGTTAATATTTTATATCTTTTGTATATGGACTCTTTATTCGTGCCTCGTGACAGCGATAGAAAAATTAGATTCCTACTGGAAGAAATTTTCAGTAACCAGTTTTATGGCCGAAATTGTGGTGATAAATGGTTTTGAAACAACACTTGCAACCTTTTATAAAAACTTGAAAAAATGCGGGTGTTCATATCTACTCGCAAATTTTCATCACATTTGGAGTTGTTAATGTATACCTTCAAGTTGTAGATACGAAAAATATTAGTCTCTACATTTCTGAGACATCTCTGACAGGTTATGGCTAACTTTGTATTCGTTGAAAAGGTGGGAAAACATTAAGTAATGGAATTCAATGAACGAAAAGTAGTAATGAAAATTGGTTCGAACCAGATAAAAACAAACATGAAACAATGCAAAAACTTCCTCTGGCTCATTTTTATATTATTTGAAATTGAGACAGTACCAACAAACAAAATTCGAATATCTCCAACGGCCAATGATAATCGCGATCTGAAAAAAAATGTGTTTCCCCAAATAGGTTTTGTTTAATTTAATCAACCTTAGAAGCTTCGCCAATCCAAGTTAGCAACAATGGGATTATAAAATTAACCTGTGTAGGATACAACCATTTTTTTAAAACAAAGAAAGGAAGAATATTTGTTGCAAAATATGACATTATACCACATTTCATTTGGTGAGAGAAAATTGTGTTTTTCAATTTTGAGTAATAAAAAGATTTTTTATCAACTTGAAAAATTGAAATCAAAATGATTTGTTCTCGGTAGCAAAATCAGATTACTGCAACTAAAATACGTGCCCCGAGAATTATTTATCAAACCCCGCTATTTGAACACCATAAAAAATAATAATTTAAGGCTATCAGTAGGTATCAATTTTGACACAAAAACTTGAATATGTTGGAAAGTGAGTGATATAACCCAAAAATGCAATAATATAAAAGGTGTTCGATTAAAATGAGTTGACACCTAGTTTAGAATAACTGGAAGAACAAGCATTTTCAAAATATTTTAGTCATGTGACCCCATCATTAGTGAATACACTGTCAAAATTTTCATCTGTACACAGATTTATGTGGTTCTCAGTGTATAGACATAGACATATTTATTCAGATATATTTACAAGATAATTTTATGCTTTGCACTAGGTGCATTATCTAAGCCAATGGCTTGTATTACAACTCACCTTGTGCTAGAGAGTCATTTTTCAAAATATAAAAATAAAAAAAAATCTTAAATTAAATTTAAATGATTGAATACCTAATAATAATATTGGTTGGTAGATACAATCAAAAAAGAAAAAGAAGGGAAAGAAGAAACTACGATCANAGGACCTGCCGATGTGTTATTTTTTAGGGTAGAAATAGTGGAGATTATTTCATTACTTGTTACTGGATTGAGAAATAGCGAATCCCTTATATGAGGATTTACTTCCTGCGGAGAGGTTATGGTATCAATTTTTTGGGCCATGAGCGTTCCCACCTGAACAAAAAATTTATTGAGATATTCAGCTTTTCCTAGATCTGATGAGATTTCATTACCTTGGTCATCGGTTATATTTATACTCTCTGCTTGAGTACTTTTTGACGAATTTGTTATTTCGTTTATTTCAGTCCAGATTTTTTTATAGTTATTATTTGCTGCTGTTATTCTATTTTTATAGTAATCGGTTTTTGTTTTACGTATTAGATGGCTTAGAAAGTTTCTGTAATGTTTATATTCTGTTTTTAGTTCTATAGAGAAGTTTTTTATAAGTCTGGATTTCATACGATCTCGATGTCTTCCAATCTGTGTAATTTAGTTTCAGAACTATTTTTTATATATAATTGCAAAGTGCTAATAAAATGATTGTACGCTGACAGTGGTTCACTTGAGTCCAAAACATTTTTTTCATTTTTCGTCATCTAGTAGACTACTAAGTTTTTTATAATTTATATAGTTCTTTTCTATTGTTGAAATATCATTATCTGTTGACACACCACGATCTATTAAAATCAGAAATTTCCCTTAAAGATATTTCTGTCATCAGAAGGTGAGAAATATCATGACAATTTGAATTGACAAAGAATTCAACTAGACATATTTTAATAGTCAATCTTTGACTGGACTCAAAAGAAGTCACAATTTTCTCACATGCATTTAAAAAAAGAGCAAATGGATGTCATTTGTAATCAAATGTAGCAGTCTTGATTTCAGTTATTTTCAGTTCATCTTTCCACTACGTTCGTCCTAGAAATCACCAGTACATCTAGTTTTTTGTGGAAAATTTAGTCCGGGAAATGCCAACTATTTTCATTTTGAATTCTTTATAAATAGTGAGATCTAGAGTTTTGAAAATGATAAGAGTAAATCAGACCATCTCTAGAAATAGCCAGCTTCCATATCCCTATCCCCACGCTTCCCCTTGATCTATAATGACAATTTACATACCTGAATAATCAATACAGCAAGGTCACATGTGAGGCAAAATCATGAGTTAATTTTTTCATCCACAATTGCTTCGTCTTTTTCACAATTGGATTCGTTTATGTTTTCTTCCTCGTAGTCTTCCTTAGCGGTGACAGCGACTGTTTCAGAATCAATTTCAGACTTTCCTTCTGCACATTCTACTGTGTCATTACCGACATTATTTTCAGGTTGTTTCTCGCTATCATCTTTCAAGTCAAACCTGACGACTCTCTTCCTATTTTCCTGACCAGAAGAAGTTATGACTAACTTCTCATTCCCTTCTTGTTTTTTCTTCTGGCTTACCAGAATCCCAGTTTCACCCTCTGTAGCTTGTTCTATTTTTACTTCAGATTCTTCTGGATTGTTCTCTTCAGAATCGACACACTGTTCTCCAGTGGTATCCTGAACTTGCGTGTTTTCATCAGATGGATTGGTATGGCGTTTGCCTCGCCCTCTTCTATGACCTCTTCCTCTAAAACTTCCACCTCTACCTCTAGGGTCCCTTTCAAAATCTCTCACCTCCACTCTATCTCTTGTTTCAACACTTCTACTTCTAACATTCTTTCCTCTACCTCTCGCTCTGTGTTCTTTAACATCATTTTCAGGCATTCGATCACTTCTTTCGGCACTCTTAGCCCGTACTTCAAAACCATCTTCAAATTCCCGATTCCTAGTTGACATTCCCCTTCCTCGACCTCTCCCCCTTCTTTCATTTCCCCTACCTCTTTCCTCGCCACCAATAACTCCAGCTTCTCTAGGTCTGCCCCTCCAGTTTCCTCCCCTTCCTTTGACTTTTTCTCCAAAAGGTTGGAGGGAGTACATGTGGTCAGGAACATGTCTGATGTCATCTAGTGTATTGTTCTCATCTACTGAATAGTTGCGTTCGCCTGTCGAAGTGCTGAACTGAACCATTACATTCAATGGGTTTTGAATAAAGGTAGGTTTATTGCGTCCTCTAGCGTTTCCTCTGCCTCTTGAACCACGAGATGGTGGACCACCTTGAGAAGCCTGACGATCCTTGAAATGTAGATGTATTTTGATTCATTATTTATAAAAACAAAATGAGTTTAGCGGTAAGGTAGAAGAATATATTTTCACTAAATACCTTGTGCTGCTGGTGATATGAATCTTCTAGTTCCGGATCAGACCAGGAGGAATCAGTTGGACCACCTCTCATCTGAAAAAATGGGCTTTGATCAATGAAGCAACAATACAAGTTGAAGCCTATTCATTTGCCCATTTCTCTATTTTAACTTAAACAATAAAAGCAACAGATGAAAACATTGGAGTTCATTTGTGAAACACTTTGCTTTGTCCATTCTATCATTCATATATGATATTTCAATATAGTCGTAAAAAAATCCTATGTAACGAAAAACTTTGAAGCGTAATTTGGTATTTCACTTCTGTTAGTGCAAAATAAATTTTTTTTGGCAATTGTGCAAAAAAGTTTAATAAGAAGATTATTCATTTTCGTTTATTTTATGTAGTTGATTGAACAATTTTAATATATTCTATATATAAGGAAGGTCCACTTTTGGATATTATCTCTTCTTCAATAATAATTCCAAATTATATGAATTTTCTCGCTTTTCACTGCAAAATTGTTATTGAACTATTTTCAGATCTGGTACCAAAGATTTTGGTATCTCCACAGCTGGTTCAGAGACAATGTAAGGTGCTGCTGAACTGTGTTCAAAATACTCATCAGCTTTTTTGTTGCCTGTGATAGGCAAGTGTCCTGGCAACCAGTATAGAGTTAATCTATTCCGGTTTTCAGTTCTTCACAGCATCCTCGAACCAGTCTCAATGTAAGAATACTTATCCTCATTTATTTGAGGTTTCAATTTTAGTCTTCTTTTCTATCATGAATATTAAAAAAATGATCTGCCATTTAGTTTTTGTCTATTTTTTCAATAAAGTTGACAATTTCAGCATCTATTTCTTTAAATTTTCATAATTTTTTCCAAAAGTTTAGCCAGTGATGCATTTTTCTTGTTTTTGTCAGTCAATGTTCTACATAAGTATGTAATTTTTTTTTAAATTCATCTCTCTCGTCTCCATTTTTGCTTGAAATGTATCTGGTTCACTATCAGCACCATATTTAAGTTCAAATACAAATTTGGTTCTGGAAAATGATAAGTTGAGGTTAATTAAGGCAAAAGAGCTCAAAATGAATGTAATTCTGTTACGAAAACATGGATCATTCAGGAAAAGTTTTTGAGACAAAGTCAGTGTTCCAAAATGTCTGTGGCTGGCTCTGATATATTGCAGATAATTTCCAAAAATATTACATTTCAGAATTGTCAAGTGTTTAAAACAGGTTCTCGTTTTGAAAAAGTTAAGTTGGTTGACCTTCATCTATCCTAACCTTTCAACTCGAGGTCAAAGTCAAGGTACCCTGTAGGTTGTTTCCATTAATGTAATATCAAATAAGAATTTTATAGGGAAATTTTTTAAGCATTGGAACACTTTCAATATATTTTTGAAAGTTTTGTTGTGGTTTTTTTACAAGACGTAGCAGTTTCCATTTCAGAAACTGGTATGCATTCATTATCATATTGAGAAATACAGGGTAGAAATACAGAAAAATGTGCACTAGTTTCACCAATGGGAAACGCTAATATTACCAAAAAGAAGTGATCATTAGAACAGAAAGATTATCGATGGGATCAAGTTGAGAGTACTTGCCAGATAATTTAGGCAATTCTGTACATAGTATCTTAAATTGAATTGCTTTCAATCAGGCAACAACAGTAATATACTTGCCGCTTCTTCCTGGTGCTTTCGATCAAGAATTTCTCTCAAGTCTCTGACACCAAAAAAATGCATAGCTTTCATTACATGTGGATCAGGTCTTCCTCGACCTCGTCCTCTCGCGGAATAGGGAGGTCGCATGCTTTGATTACTTTGATAAGGACGTTTATGAGGAGCATCTTCCAAGTAATCACTTGTATTCATTAGGTGTGGATCAGGTATTCCTCGACCTCGTCCCCTTGCGGAATAGGGAGGTCGCATGCTTTGATTATTTTGATGATAAGGGCGTCTTCGAGGTGTATCTTCCGAGTAATCATTTATATTTTCAGACTCTGCCATTTTTTATTGAACCTTTCCTATTCTTGGGGGACCAATGAATTGTAACTTGTTGATTCCTTCTTTGAAGAAGTAACGACAGTTCTATTCTAAAGAAAAAAATACGTGAACAATACTGAAAATAAAAGTACTTTTGGCATTACGAACGTATTGTGGAATCCCCTAAAAAATTCACAAATAAAATAATCGCCCTCTGGTAATGTTAGGTTGGCAGTTGACAATAGGGAAGTTCATCATCAAGATGCGACGTCTATCGGGGATACTATAACTAAGTCAGATGGTAAAATAAAAACAGACTCCTGTCAACTGTTTCCATAAATATAATGATCTCATCAACAAAACTATTTCCCTCCCACAAAAAATAACAATCAAACGACTCAAAACACAAAAAACTCCAAAACAACAAATATAATCTATGTTTCACATCAAGAGATTCCGATCAGCTGTTTATCGTTTAGGTAGTAGCGCCATCATTAGTAGAAATTCTTCTCTATATGCATAGCTTTGTATATGGATAGTCTGTATACAAAGTGCATGAAATACTCATAGTAGCATTGAAGTGGCATTAAAAAAGAATAGGAATATTTTAAACGTATAACTTCAAATTTTCAAGTGTGAAATGAAATTGAAAGTTAATAATTCAATGCTACAAAAAGCTGCAGTTAGAAAATCATATCTGAAATTGTGAGGGAATTGGCCGATGAAAATCCATAACGTTTCGAAGTAATACTTTATCTTTTGATTTCCACTAAACAATTCACAAAATCGCAACATGTGTTGTTTTGTTGGTTTAAACATAAGGGCAGAAGTAACAAAAACGTTAATGTTATACTTCACTCCGTAAGAATCCTTATCGATACAAGATACAAGATACAAGATAGATACAAGATAATGATTGACACAAATGTATACGCCTATGAAAACCATTAGAAAATGTCCGAAAATTTTGATGAACTTATTATTCTTAGAACTAGATTACCTATTCTGAACATTTCTCAATCAGAATATTTGTGATGTTGTGACACCCCAAACAACAGTATATAATTTCTGACAGAAAATTTTGTGTAGGATGATATAGGGCAAGTTCAATTATATAATTTTGTAATATAATAATAATATAATATAATAACACTAATGATTTTCAAACAAGACTCAACCTCTAACGGAAGCAAGAAACTCTTTGGAAGGTTTGAAAGAGATGAACATTTCAACCTAGGAGACCACTATTATAATATTCATGCAGTCATTGTTCACTGTGGTTCTGGCGTTGAATTTGGTCATTATTACGCCTTGGTCAAAGAAGAAACGGACTGGTTTAAGTTTGACGATAGTCGTGTCACGAAGTGTTCTGGTGATGCATTGAATTTATTGGAGCCTCTGGAGACACCCTACATTTTGTTTTATAAGAGAGAGGACATTGTTGGATCAAGATCTTCAGATGATGTGGTGCTGCAGGTTTTTCCGGGTTTTCCTGCAGCTGAAAAAGCAAATGCGCCACTGGAATCAATGAAGTCGCCCCGGAGCGTCAATGAATTTTTATTGTTGTTTTTATTTTATTTATTTGTATTATTTCCTCACAATTTTGTTAGTAATTTTAAATAAATTACGTCACGATCACGGAACGCAAACTATAACTATTGACAATGACAAAATATCACAAAATGAGAAAGTTATTTGTTCCATGAGCCAAAGGATGTTCATGTTACTCTGAGTTCATGTTCAATGGGCGTGTTTTATTCACTTTTGTACCCAATTGTTTATGCGCTTGCGCCTTAAGTATTCAATGTTAGTTGTCATGAAGGGCGTTTGCGTTTGTGAATTCGTGAACAAGTGAATGGACTGTGAAATTTAAGATATCAATTAATTTTTGATAGTAAAAATAGTGGTTCGGCAAAATTATAACTGGAGTTGTGTTGAGGTGAGTTTTTTTTCACTTCTCATCAATACATGGTTAACGTGAACTAATTAAGGTAATATGGCGGACTTTAGGTGTAACCCGTAACTGTACCGATTGAAGATTGCTATGTGATTTCAGTGCAAAGCATTTATCTGAATATTCGTTTTGTATTTAAGCTTCTGAAATGAGCTGTTATTGAACTGACGATTCTGTTAGCTGTGACAAGTGCACCTCTTTCTGCAATAAACGGTGACCTTTTTTTAGCCCTATATGTCACTGAACTCTAATAACAGCAGTAACCGAAAACAGGGCAGCAGAGAGTCACGCAAAACAAGTGGATGGCATGCACTTGTCGTTTCCTATAGGTGACTTCGCCTAAAATAACTGTTTGAGTTTAGCAAAGGATGGTTGTTATTGATTTTTGCGTGATATTTTAGTACTATTTTGAGGAAAAGAGACCAACCCTGTTGTTTTAGACTGTCTAACAGTAAGAACTCTCAAGGGTCTTTTAATTAAAACCGATTGTCAGATACTGATGAACAGGTGTTTAATGAGATTACAACTGTGGTCAAGATCACTTTCAAATGTGATTTTCATTGCACATTACCCTTTCTTGATGTATAAATATCTGTGATGCTACTGTGACTCAACAATTAATAGCAGTCGTCCTTGGAGTTTAATTTTTCAAATTCATTACTTAATCATGTATATATTATGCATTTAAGCTTTTTTAGGAATCTCACAATTAAAGATGTTTTTATCTTAGTGGTTTACCCAACTTATCTCATTTTATCAGCACTGATAAATAACATACACTTGTTACAGGATAAGCAGGTAGTTATGTTCAAGTCATTTGATTTGTAGTTTATTACACAATATAATCAGGTCTCTAGAAAAAAATTCAATTAGTGTGTTGTATGATTGTAACTACACCCCAAACAAACTAGAGCCTCAAACATCTTTGCTGACCATAGGCAAGTAAGTTCATTCAGGAATGTCTAGTGATTCCAGAGGTGGATTCACTCATTCATCAATATTTGATTAACTAATAATGTGCATTTAACATCACTGAATAAAATTACTTCACTTATATTTATCGGGGCAATTTTCAGTTTGAAGATTTAATCAATATATTGAAATTATTCTTGAAAAAGTGAGTGTCCTACTCAAGTGAATATTATATAATGTTGCTGAGCCTTTAATGTCCAGCGAATGTCAGGGTGTTAACATGATATCAATGGTAGTATATCTACTATAGTTTGGATTTGCACATTCATCCATATATAATTCGACTCACGCTACAATTAAAACTAGTTGACCATTAACAGTGCCGTAGATATGTTGATTGGGAGCTAGAGCAACAGGCTTTCAATGTTGATTTTTCGAACAAAATTCTCTTCAGCGATGAAGCTCATTTCTCACTCCATGGTTACGTCAACAAGCAAAATTGTTGCTTATGGGACTCGGAGAACCCCAAAGTGGTTGTGGATGGATAAGCCATTGCATCCGGAAAAAGTGACTGTTTGGTGTGCATTATGGTCTGGAGGTGCCATTGGCTCACATTTTTTCCAAAATGGCGCTGGAAGAATCGTCACCTTCAATCCAGATTGCTATGGCTGTATGATAACCCACTTTTTTGCCCTGCAATTGAAGATTATGTACTAGACGACAGATGATTTCAACAAGACAGTGGCATGAACCACACAACATGACCGATTTTGTTTTATTGCATGATGTTAGATGTCAATTGTAAATGCAATGTTATGAGTCATGAACTCTATTTCAGTCTGTGTCAGCTGTACTGGAATAGATGAACTAACATTCGACAACTGACTTTTTTGTACTTCAGGATGTTTGTTGTTGCTGATATGGTTATCTGAGTAGGCATTTTTGAAAAAAAATTTCACTGTTATAACAGTGACAGGGAGACTCAAATAATTGGGTGTAAATTTTTTGGAGGTGCCATTTCAAAAAGTATAAGTAGAGAATAGTTTTTAAAAATGGTCAGCATGATGTTAACGATGTTCTCAGAAGGATATTTCCAAGCTGATTTATTCCATTTTTGGAACTCTTTTCATGTCGAAAAGATTGAAAAGTGATATGGAGACTGAAAAACAAAGTAGACATTTTCTGGGGGTGTCATTTGAAAAAACAAAGTTGGGGTTGATTTCTTATGAACTGCAATCCTTAAATTATTTCATAGATGATCTGACGTTTTTCAATACTGCTTTCCTTACATCTTACATTTTTACAGCTTTACAAATAACGAAGATATTGCTCGTTAACTAAATTCTGGGACATCCTGTATATAGTCAAAATATCGGTGTCTTCTAATTGTAGTTCATCCAATATCCAATATAGTGTTTATTGAATAATTTTTGTATCATTAGATTTTTGTATCATTTTTGTTGTGCTTGTATGGTATTCTGTTAATCATTTGATATTCAAAGGGCAGGGATGTTCATTGTTTTTTTGTGGCAATCAAAGTTTATATTCTTGATGTTAACATTTTGCTGGTATTGAGATTCCTATTGAATACTTATCATATAGTAGTGTCTGGTACACTTGTAATGTCTCTGAATTCGTTGTAAAATTCACACTTTTTTATTCTATCTAATTCAATTTTCTATAACAGCGACAGAGGAAATGGAGCAAATTCATTATCTGAAAAGCCGATTTTTTTCAGTTTTTCTCAAGATCAAACAGATTAATGAAAAATAAATCGTATATATTTACAGACCATTTTGAAGTAGACATTTCAACAGTTGAAATGAGCTCCGGCAGAGTACTTAAATAAAAAATAAATCAAGATTTTTTTTGGAAAATTGTACATATCTTGTAAGCTACTTGTTTTTGAGTTTATTCAGCATAAAAAGGTACACATTGGTAATTTTTCATGTAGATAAATTAAATTATTTTTGCGTAGGGACCGTTCAAGTATTTTACGTAAGCACTATATGGGGCCTGGAGGTCTTTGCTTTGCTTATTTTTGTAGACATTGGGGGCGGGGGTCTAGATGGTGATTTCGTCAGCATTAGTTATTTACTTTTTTACACATATGGCAACCCACACATTGCCTATGTTTAAAAAATGCATATAACAACGTTTACATAAGCATGGTAGGGGGTAAGAGCTTTGCTTACTTTGGCTGACAGGGGGAATGGGGGAGTAAATAATTGTAATAAATATTCTTACGTAATAGTTGAACGGCCCTCAAGAGAAGAAAAAATAGAAAAGGGAAAAATCATTTTTTCGCAATTTTCTCCCAAAATTTGAGTTGCTGAAAAGAACTTGCATGCTAGACATTATACACAACTTTTCTATAGAATATTTTGCCCCAGAAGGTCAAACTTAGCCTAAA